TCTTGGTCCTGGATGCTGCTCTCTTGGCTGTGGTTTTGCGATCCGGAAATGAGAAAGAAAAGCACTTTGTTGACCCGCGCTGACTGAGAAAATGTGTAACTAGTTCCAGAGATTGGGAGGGTGACGAAGAGCGGGGGATGGGGGGGGGGAACCGTTGTCAATGAGACTTGTTGAGAGCCTTTCTACCGTTCCTTACATCCTGCTGAGCTGTGCCGGGAAGTATTCAGTATTCTCCTACCAAACCGCTGCGGGTCACATGATGATGGATTGTACTGCCCAGCAGTCGGGCCTTTTCTTTGCTGATCAGTGTTTGGGCTTTGCTCTGATAAGACCCTATTCAGGGGGCTTTGAGCAGCGGTACGGCTCTGTGCCTTTTTCCATGAACAGCAGGTGTTCCTATCAACAGTCTGGCAGGCGGCTTTGTGTTTTGCTACACCAGATCTGAACCTGTGCTTAGCAGGCAGCGACACGTCAGATGGCCGACGCTTGCATCCCCACACTGAATGTGAAAACCCATCATGCTGTTTCAGACTTGTTTTCGGTTGGATTGTGGTCGACTCCAGTGCTGGTTCTCACAGCAGTGTGACATGGTGACTGGTGTAAACACACAGAGGAACTGTATGTTTGCTTTGTGTGTTAAATGTCAGCCTTTTGTATGAAATACTTAACTGCGATGTGGAATGTTTGCTCTCGGGGGATTTAATTGAAACATCACAGGGTCAGTGGCCTGTCAAGCAGCTATTTAGCACAATATTTAGTCTCTTTTTATATTATAAAGTTAGTGCCGACGACACAGGAAATAACAAATTGCCAAATGTTCTTGCAACAAATTAGCTTGTCTCAGAAAGGTTTATCTGTCTTAATCTTAAAACACTTTTTATCAATCCAGAGAGTTATAGTCATGCTAGAAAATGTGAATCCTTTGTGGTCGTCTCATTTTGTGCAGGACGAGTGTGTGTTGGAGCCCGAGATATACGTCCGAGCAGAGAGGCTGTTTCGGATACTGCTGCACTATGTCACAGATTTCTTGGTGTGGGAGGAGAGCCTTGAACCACCGGAGGAGCTGCAGCCCCTGTACGGCCTGTCTAATTACATTCATGTGCATCGCTTCTTCTGCCAAGCACCCAATTTAACGCTGACCGTGCGCTTCTTCTATCCCCACAGGACAAAAGACAATGCCTACTACTGCGTACTGTACAACGATGAGCACCACTCGTACGACCATGTGATCTACACCCTGCAGCGCTCTGTTAACTGTGATCAGGCCGAAGCACAGACGCACACCGCACTTATTGACAAAGAGGTATTTATTTTGGCGCCATTTGCTCTTAATGTTTCCTGTACAGTACTGTCGTGATATGAATCAGGTTCCATAGTTGCAGTCATCATACCCCACTGCAGAATATGCCATTTTGCAACATTTGTGGACTGTCGCACAGGGTCGGCGGGCAGTAAAGAGAGGGACCCTTCGTTCCTGTCAGCAAGCTAGAGATCTCATCAGGGTAAACGCCAGTTTTAGAATTTGGAATAGCATTTTGTCCGCTACCTGACATTGTTAAGTGACCTCTAACTCTAAACCCTTTGCTGCTGTCTTGCAGTCCAACTCCGAGCACATTTCCCTGCAGCCACTACGCGTGGAGATCCTTCATGCAGCAGTAATGGCTCATCAAACCTTTGTGCTGCGCCTCGGCCCCTGGTTCCAAAAGATCATCAGTTACTCAGGTGCCACCGCCATTGTTGCCATGCTAGCGCCACACAAACTATTTACTGATTGTGCAGCTTTCATCCGTGTCATCTTAAAAACAAAAAAAAACAAAAAAAAAAAACCCTATTGACAATGTTAGTCCTTAGTTTTCTGTGCACAATTGCATGTCATGCGACTTGACTGGAAACCTGTGTGTGTCTTGTGCAGTGGGCTTCAGACAGGCCTTCTGTCAGGTGGCGCTAGAGACGACTGCAGACGGAGACCAGCCTTGCCTCATCAGCAGACTCATGCTGCACGATGCCAGGATGTACAAAGGCAAGAACGCCTGAGCTTGGTTTTTAGTGCACTCTTAATCTGAACTTGATTCCCTGATACTAACATGGAGGCGTTTCTCTTTTTTCCTGCTTTTAAGGAGCACGCAAGATCGTACATGAACTGATTTTCTGTAGCATGCTAATGGAGACAGAGTTCAAGAGACTTTTTGCAATTCAGTTCACAAAGGTAAAATAAAAAGAATGGGATTTTTTTTTTTTTTTACATTTCTGGCCATTCTTTCTCCTGCTCAAACTAATACATGCTCCATATTTTGTTTTCAGTACTACAAGCAGCTACAAAAGGACTTTATAATTGATGACCACGAGAGGAGCATCTCCATCACTGCTCTGTCTGTTCAGATATTCACTGTACCCACATTGGTAAAGGCTGTTTATGGTCAGATTCCTGTTCCTGTGTTCCATCTGTGTCCATCTCCGCCCTCACACTCCTCTTCCTCCTCTAGGCCAGACAACTCATCGAAGAGGGCAATGTCATTAAAGTTATAGTCGGCACGGTCATGGAATTGCTGCGTGAACATCTGGATAACAACAATCGCTTCTTCTTCCTTGGCTACAACTCTGACAAGTTCTCACGAATCCAGATCATCTTCCACGACCTCAGGTCATTAAAGTACAAACAACTATAATGAACTCTTTGTTCTTTACTTCTTGGGTCTTTTTTAAGATCTGTCTTCTCTCATAGGTATATTCTGATCAGCAAACCCTCGGTATGGACTGAGGAGCTGCAGAGAGAATTCTTGGAGGGATTCCGAGACTTTCTTGGGCTTCTCAAATGCATGCAGGTAATGCTCCGCTCAACCCCAATTCATTACATCTGTTTATGGTAACTTGAGAAACCGGATATCTAATCAGTCCTGGCCTTCTTTGTTCTTTGCCTTCCTATATTAGGGTATGGAGGAAGTGAAGCGCCAGTTTGGTCAGCACATTGCGGTGGAGCCAGAATGGGAGGCTGGCTTTTCTCTTCAGATCCAGCTCCGCCACATTCTTGCTATGTTTCAAGACTGGTGTTCCTCGAACGTGAGCTGTCATGCAATTCGTCCGCCAACCAATTGTGTTCTCTCACCAACAGAGGAAGTACGGCTATGAGCCCCTCTTACGCGGCACATCATTTCTTGTTTGTCCCTTCAGGACGAGATCTTGCTGCTTGCATTTGAAGAGTGCCACAAAGTCCTGATGCAGTGCAATAACCAGCCCTTCCATCGGGAGGCCACTAACTACCACATGTTGAAGCACGTCCTCCACATTCGTCCCTACAAAGTGTCTCAAGAGCCAGTCAGCATACATCTGCCTATCTCCAGGCTACTGGCAGGTAGGATAACTAATATTTAAGGCGCTTGGTGACTGCTTGGTATTTTTCTGTTTTGGTGTAAACTCACTGCACACTGTGATCCACAGGTCTGTATGTAATAATGTGCAGAACAAGGGCAGTTGAGCGTCTGGATAACCCCGTAAGTGACATGAGTACTATAAATATTTCCTATGCTTGAAGTATTCAGTGTGTGTGCTGTGTTGTTGTTTATTGAATGAGCAGTTTTAACTTCCACTGCAGGCGTCACAGGGTTAGTTTTTTTTTTTGTCTTCTCTATTGCAGGAGCGCTTTGACCACACCTTGCTGGCAGAGCATCCTCTGCGCTGTGTGGTGCTGGCTGCGCAGGTCTCTGCTGAAATGTGGCGGAGAAATGGAATTTCATTGGTCAGCCAGGTAAACTACGTTCTTTGGCTGTTCAAGGCCCTTTTAAATTTCTCTCTCTGTTTTGTTACGTGCTCTCAACAACTGTAAGTGAATTCATTTTTTCCCCCCACATTATCAGGTCTACTACTATCAGGATGTAAAATGCAGGGACGAGATGTATGATAAGGACATTGTCATGCTTCAGGTTGGTGGCAATTAGACACCTTCTTTCGTCTGGCTTTTACGCTTGACTTTAAATGTATATTTGTGGTTGTATATACACTTACTCTATTGATATATGGCTCTTTAATACAAAATATTTACAGATAGCTGCTTCCAAAATGGACCCCAACCACTTCCTCATGCTGGTCTTGTTGCGATTTGAGCTCTTTGACTATTTCAAAGGAAGTATAAACAAAGACCAGGCAAGCAACAGCCCATTCATGTTTTTAAACAAAAATTAAAAAGTTGTGTATAATAATTTCTCTAATAATTTGCTTGGTGATTAAATGTAACCCAATCTGCAGGATGAACTGATACAGTGGAACCGCTTGACAGAAGAGATGCTGTACCTCCTTATCGTCGTGATCGGTACGGTGTCACATTGTATGAATTAAAGTACAGAATTTAGTTGGCTGAAAAGGGTCCATACTAAAGTGTCTGGCTGGTGTTGTGTTTCCAGGGGAGCGCTATGTCCCCGGTATCAGTCAGGTGACCAAAGAGGATGTGACCATGAGGGAGGTGATCCACCTGCTGTGCATTGAGCCCATGGCCCATAGCAGCCTGGTTAAGGGTCTGACGGAGAACGTAAGCTCCACACCGTCCAAACTCAAGAGTTCATTCATTAGTTTTTACGAGGGAATAATAATAAAGGTTTTCTTTTGTAGGAGAGCCACGAAACTGGCCTGGAGAGTGTTATTACCAAAGTTGCAACCTTCAAGTATGTAAAGACTGAACAGGCTTATGAGTTTCATCTTAATGTTTTCAGAGTGAATTTAATCTGTCTATTCTACTTCTTTGTTTTTTTAGAAAACCAGGAGTTTCGGGGCACGGATTGTATGGAGTAAAAAAGGAGCGTCTGGTCGAATTCAACCCTTTCTTCTACCATTATTCCAGATCACAGCATAGCAAGGTAATGCCATATCTCAAAGCTTTTCCATTGACATGACACATTGTTGTTGAATATTCCTCATTTCACTTCATTTCACTTCATTTCTCACCTTTTACACTTTGCAGGCAGAAGAGTCTCAGAAGAAGAGGAGGACTCATGAAGGTCACGACAAAGGTCAATTCTTCCCGCTGCGCAGTTCTAGATTTTAATCGTCTGTACTCTCAACCGCTAATGAATCGTCTCTGCTAACATTCCCGTGTTTTTTTTTTGTTTTTTTTTTCCGACTCTCAGCTCTGCGTCCTCCGATGCCTCCCGCCTTCTGCCCAGCCTTCTCCAGCATAGTGCGTCTGCTCAGCTGTGACATTATCGTCCACATCCTGAGACACACCCTGCAGAGAGCTGCAGAGGACCGGGCAACCCATTGGACCGAAGCCATGATCCAGAGGGTAGACGTCACACCTTTTTCCTTTCCTTTACAGTCTACCTTATCGGGCCTGTGCCTTTTCATCACCGTACCGACTTGCAGTAACAGGCATTCATTTACCACACAGGCCCTGCACTTGATAGGCCAGGCTTTGCTCGAAGAGAAAACCCAACTTGAGGACAGCACGATGGAGGAAGTGGCCTTTGATTTCAGCCTCAAGGCCCGCAGTGAGTGAAGACTAATTGTTTTGTGTACAGCTGACTAAATCTTAATCATAATTCTCAAAGCTATCAATTAGTTTGTTTTACATAAATGTCTCTTCTTCAAGGAATTGGTTCAGAACACGGAAAGTCAGTCTTCCTCTTGTTGTCAAAGATTAAGGCCGTTCCTTCCCTCGAGGCCCAAAAAGACATGGTTAAATGGGTTTTACAGGTAGGCTCTTATACTACTACACTATTATAATAATACTATTATAAAATGTGTTCTATATATATAATGTTGTAAACAGTTTACAGTGCAGGAAGAAGCGATAAAGACCACTTGTCTTTTTTGGAGCCTTCTCTGTATTCTATAAAAATGTTGCTTTGTAATGGAAACCATAAAAGTAATATACATTTCAACCATATCAAAAGAAAGAAAATGTGTTCATGAATACTTGTGCATGGTGGTTGTTTCCCAGTTGACGTCACCATCTTAAATGGATATTTTTCTGCTAGATGTTTGAGATCGTCAAGTGCCTTAGAGAGAAGTCCAGTCCAACAGCTTCCATGAGTGTGGATACGACCAAGCCAGAAGAGGTAAAAGAGCAATCAATGATGAATAATGATAAAAAGACATTTACCTATACAATAGACACTCAATTTTGTTTAATGCCCTTTTGGATTGGAGTGCTTTTAGTTTAAGTTTAATACTGTGAGCAACTGTGGTTTTTACAAAGAGGGTTCTGGGAAGTTAAATGGAGCTTCATGTTGTCTTAAATTCCTCATAGTTTATTTGGTCTCCTTAAATATCAGAGTTCTTGGTGCGTTTGTGTTTCTTACCATTCCTCAACGTCGTTAGCTACATCGTATTGAGAAGTTTTAATGTGTTGTCATTATTCCAGAGTGCTCAGGACAAAGAGAAAGCTGAGCGCAAAAGGAAGGCCGATGCCGCCAAACTCCACCGCCAGAAGATCATGGCCCAGATGTCAGCAATGCAGAAGAACTTCATTGAGTCAAACAAGTTGCTGTACGATAACATGCCGGAGAGTGGGACACAAGGGGAGCCTGTTGCTACTACGGCGAGGTGACCGTTCACAAATACTACCGATGGCTGTGTTCATCTGGCTTTGCGCTCAAGCCTCTAAACCGAAGGTGTTTGGCTGATTCTAGTTTGGGTTCTGTTTGTGCCTCCAGCTGTGCTATGGAGCACAGTGAGCTGTGTGTAGCCATCGGGCCCCAGCGAGGGTCCTCTCCGGCCGAGAGGGAGCTGCTGACCTGCATTCTTTGCCAAGAAGAACAGGAGGTTGCGGCGCAGGCTCCCGCCATGGTACTGACGGCGTGTGTCCAGAGGTCCACGGTGCTGACGCAGTGCAGAGGCAGGATACCGGCCAATAGAGCAGATGGTCCGTCTCCATTCACCAGTCGTTTCATTGAGTCGTTAATGGCTATCATGACATGCGGGAAAATCCTCTGACTCATGTGCGTTGTCTTTATCCCTCAAAGGGACAGTGACATCATATCCCCTCTTCATGGCTCCCGAACTGGCAGTTGGAACCCACACTGGCAGCTGTGGACATGTCATGCATGCCACATGTTGGCAAAAGTGAGTTAATAGAAGAAAACATTTAGCTGATGATGTCAGTCCTCCCTCTGTGTGTTTGTGGTCGAGGTGCAGTTGACGGTTAATTTGCCATTAAGGTGTTGTTCTCTGTATTTGTCAGATACTTTGAGGCCGTTCAGAACATGACCAGGAACCGGCTCCATGTTGAGCTGATCATCGACCTGGAGAATGGAGAGTACCTGTGTCCCCTGTGCAAGTCTCTGTGCAACACCGTTGTCCCGCTCATCCCGTTTGAAAGGTTAATGTTCAACTAGTAAGTCCAGCTCACCGTCCTCAGGCCAATATGCAGTGGATCATTGTTTGTACAAAGACAAGTTATTCTGAGCATGTTTTTCTGTGCGCAGTGAAAACGCAGAGATAATTGGAGAGCATTTGACTCTGTCCCGCTGGATCCAGATCCTCACTGCCAGGATTAGAGGACTCAAGTCAGTCACTCAAGAAAATGGTAAGAAGACGAGCTCAACATACAATTATTCCACATCTTTGGTTGGGTGAAGAGTATTTTTGGAGGTTTTTAGGTCCATGCCGCCAAGACAAATTTCTTGTATGTTTGGCATATTTTGGTAATAAATGTTTCCTGATTCCTGATGTAACTGAAACAATGCGAAACACATGATATGTTCGTATGCCTTTTTACTGTGAACTCAACACTGCATTTGCCTCATTATAAGAAGTTATCTGCTTTATTTGACTTTTAGGCTAAAGCAGCTCCAGGGAAAGAATAATTTTGCATTATATTGTCTTCTATAACATAAACTGTGTGCACGCAGAGGCGAGAATATGAAGGCTGATGGTGGCCAACCTCGATCTGATATCAGTGCTTCAATAGTCCCCCACAAGTAGCATTATAGGCCATTATGCGTAGATGTTGACATGTGGGCCAGGCGATGAACGATTTTCTCTCTGTTGTGCAGATTGCAACACCGAGGGCAGCAGTGTTGATGGGGACCCGGGGCTGTGCGGAGAGGGCCAGGCGGACTTCAGATCCATCCTGAGCTACGGAGTACAAGAACCGTGAGTGAAACTCTTCCCCCTCCCCCTCCTCCCAAAGTCTCTTTGTCTCCTGTAACACAGTTTGTTTTTAGGAGGAAGTTCTCCGACAGCATACTGGAGATGCTGGTTGTTTGTGCCACCACGGTCCACAGGGTGGGACTGCAGACGGCACCCAACGAGCTGTGTCCACGTGTTCCCATCATGGCTTGGAACACGTGTGCCTTCACTATTCAGGCCATCGGTACAGGAAAAGTTCTGAGGTTTTTTGCGTCGATTGACCCCCTTTTCATGTTCTGGAATTTGTCAAAAATGTATTGTGTCTTCACAGAAAACATATTGCAGGAAGAAAGCAAGTCACTCTTCGGCTCCTTACAAAACAGACAGGTCGGACAAATGTTAAGAGTTCACATCCGTCCCATCATGCATGTAATGTATAATGGTTTAACTTCGATTTTTCAAATGTTTCTCTGTTTTAGCTCGCCGGTCTGAAGGCAATTGTTCAGTTTTCCGCCGCTCAGAGAATTAAGAGTTCCCAGGCTGTCATTCAGAGGCACTTTAACGACATGTTGGGGGGTATGTGGTCATTCAAGAATACCTACATTTATTTACTGTATATAATTGTACAGCCTTCTTTCAATTTATTTCCCTCGTGGTGATAACTAACTTCCTTTGCCAGTGTTGCTGCCGGCCATGGGCAGAAAGAACACCCCTTCTCCTCTGGAGGTGGACTTCTTCCATCTTCTGGTAGGTTTGCTGTAAAGGGAACAGCTCTGTTGAGAATGATGGACTCCAACACTTCTTGTCACCATCTCCCAATGAGTTCTGTTAAATAACATTTGTTGCTTATAAGTCCTGAGGATTAATTGTTATGATGATTGCTGCTCCCATCATGAACTCGATGACGGTTTTGTAATTTGTTTGCCAATCTGATGCTATTTGTGTGTTAATGGCAATTGTGTTCTTTGTCAGGTGGGGTTGGTGTTGTCTATACCTGCACTCTATCAGGAGGAGGCTGTGGACTTGCAGCCGTCCGCTGTCAGTTCTGCCTACAACCACCTGCACATCCTTCATCTGGTGACCATGGCGCACATGCTGCAGGTCCTCGTTTCCTCTACAGGTACGAACCACAACGCCATACCTTGTGGTTAGTTGACTGAACTACCGAAGAAAGCTGTGCACTATCTAGGATGGTGATTAAAGCATGGTGTCATTTTTCCTAGATTTCCCCGCTGTAGCTGGAGAGGAGACGGAGGAGTCGAAAGCTGCAGCAGAGCTCTACACTACAGTGTCGCAACACACTGAAAGGTACAAGTGTTTCTCATCGCTCTAATATTTGCAAAGCAAAATACACATTTTCTTTGACATTTTCCGATATGCAATTCTGTTAAGCTCAAACCTAGTGAGCTGAAAAAAGAAAGGCGGTACGATACCTTGATTGTGGAATTTTAACGCAAATACAAACGTAAATCAAAATGATTCCTTCATTAGCAATGTATGTACAGACACCGAGGGGAACCTCCTTCTGCTTTGAGACTTAAATCTCTGTTGTGCTTCTCCGCCTCTCATGACCATGACCACATTTGGGGGGTTTTGTTTAGCAGCGCTTCACAAATAACAACAAAACTGTAATGTGTAAACTATTGCTAAGGCCGTTCTTCGACATCTCTTTATTGATCTTGCCGATGTGAACTGCCTTTAGCTTGGGTGACGTGTTTGTTCTGTGGTTCGCTCATCAGGCTGATTCCAGATGTGTCCGGCATCTCTGTGGCAGAAAGAGTGAAGAGAGGAATTGAACCTTTCCTGCGCTGTGCTGCTCTCTTTTTTAATTGCCTTACAGGAGTACATCCCCCAGAGGAGCTTTTTAGTACTGCTGGTAGGTGATATTATATTGTGATAACAATACAATATACTACTTATGACGATTTTAAAGAATTTAAGCTAAACATTTTTTTTGGATTTCTTGAAGTCGCCTCTCAAGGACAGTTGGAGGCGCTGTGCGGCTACTTGGCACTACCCTCCAATCTGTTCCAGCTCTTCCAGGTGCACAGAGACACTGTTACTCCACTGCTGAAAAGGTCCGTGTGAAGCATTGAGGCATGGTTAAAGTATTTGATCAGGATCTTTTTATATTTACTGAGGAGTTGGCCAGTTTCTTGTTAATGCTTTTTCTTCCTTAGCTGGTGTGGCAGTCTAGCTGTGACCAAAGCCCTGAAAGGCAAAAATCAGACCGTCAGGTAGGCTCATGTATTGCTTCAGTCCCACTTTGTTTTTGTAATAAACCAGGTCCTAGTTATTCATCAATATACTCTTACCACAGATACCCGAGGAGAAGGAATCGTTTGGTTGATCTTCCTGAGGATTACAGTGCTCTCCTCAATCAAGCCAGCCATTTTCAGTAAGTTTAAATTAAATAAAAGTGCCTACGCTGGAAAATCTCCTTTTTAGAGCGTCTCACCATTAGTCAACTCTACCTGTCCTCAGATGTCCCAAATCTACGGACGACGACAGGAAGCATCCGACCTTGTGCCTGTTTTGCGGCGCCATCTTGTGCTCTCAGAGCTCCTGCTGTCTCAGCCAGCTGGATGGAGAAGATGTGGGAGCTTGCACTGCCCACGCTGCTACCTGCGGGGCCGGAGTGGGAATGTTCCTCCGGTGGGTGAATTCTAGGCCCTGGAGCGTTTTGGCGTGGAACCTTATTTTGTCTTCCCAGAAATGCGATGCTTAAATGAAAATTTGTTTTCATGTCGACAGGATAAGAGAGTGTGAAATTGTACTGATGGCAAGTAAAACTCGAGGAAGCACATATCCTGCTCCTTACCTGGATGATTATGGGGAGACTGATCCTCACCTTGGGTAAGAATCAAAGCTCTTTCAGGTTCTAAACTTTAAAAAAACTTAAAAAAGAAAAAAAGTAATGGCTGACATTCAAACATAACTACCCAACTTGATGAATCCATGATTCTACCACTTACTAATACACACGAGGTTGAATTTTAGTTACCCTGTAACTAAATTCATTCAACAACATTGAACAGTCATTCAACAACACTTATTTTTGTAACAAAACAGACTACGGCATATTTGAAATCCTTACTGCTTCTCTAGGGACATTCTTTTATATTTTTTATATATTCTTTTATTATGTGTAGTGTGTGTGTTTTCATGGACAAATGAATAAATCAGGCCTTCTGTCTTGTTAATCTTTAGAAGAGGCAATCCACTCCACCTTTGCCCAGAGCGCTACAAGAAGCTGAACCAGCTGTGGCAGCAGCATTGCATCCTGGAAGAAATCGCCCGCAGTCTAGAGGTGGTCAACGTGATGTTTGCATTTGAGTGGCAGATGTTGTGATGATCGCTGCAGCTGTGGTGGCCGGGAAGTAAAGAGCACAGCCATAGAGCACAATCTGCTCCAGTGCTCCTTAGGCAGACAGACAGACAGACAGACATACACACACATATACATACATACATACATACAACCCTCCTGCAATCAAAGGAGGTCTGAGCAGCCAGTCCCTCTCTGAGGACACCCCTGGCGGGGTCAGTAGAGTTGGGACACTCGAAGGAGGGAGGGTAGCGCAGCGTAACGAGTAAACCCAAGTCGCCTTGTTTTAATTTGATTGTCTGCTGTAAGGAGTTTCTGCTAGAGAAATGGCATTTGCAAAGAGACACATTCAAATAAAGACACGCATCAGATACACACCAACGTGTTTTAGTTATCAGTTTATATATATCATTTCTTTCAGTAATGCTGTGAATTTTCTGCATTCTCTTTTAGTTCTATACAGTTATGAGTTGTCATAAGTTATTCTTCTTATTCTGCTGTTTCAGAGGGTATATTCATTTAGAAATCAGTTATATAGTCAGATCTTTCACATTTTGGCCTTTTCCCATTCACTATGTAAACTAAATAATGGAGCCACATACGGTCACCCGTACTCACATATATAAGCGTATGTAATGAATAAAACATTTATAAAAGATACATTATTTTCAAAGCTGTATTAAAAACAAACTCTGTAGTCTGAGAGAAGTATACAGTAACCTGCTTCCATAAGTTCCTGATAAGCATTTTGACTCTATAACCCTTTTTGATGTCCTGAACGACCTTAAGAATCCTTTTGTGATTTCTATAAAACGATGCTACCATAGTCTTCATGATATAATTCTATGACTAAAAAACCCTATTTGGCCAAAGTAATCAGATCAGATATCCACTGTATATTAATAATACAATTCATAAAGGGGCCCCATGCTAGACAGTAATATTTCAACATCTAGTGGTATTTAAAAAAAAAATGCAATATTCTATTTAAAAGCGAAATTTACTTTATATTGAAAATAATCTAAGGTAGCATATGATATCTTTTTTTTGGTTATTACCCCTGTTCAGGAAAATATGTGAATTTAAAATGTTCTCCTTTTGTGTTGTTTGACAGTATTGCATAACTTCCAGGCTATAGAAATAAAGTCATTAGCCTATATACAGATGAACTGCTCCTGCGCCCTGAATCCACGCCCTGCGTACAGTAATGTCTGCAATGTCTTATGGGATTCATTTTGTTTCATTATAATGGAATAAAAATCTCCTCATTGATCACCCATAGAATTATTTGGTGATCTATTTTCCATCATCAATATTTGTCATCCATCGCCTGAGAACCCCAGGTGAGCCGCGGATTGGCAGAATTATCTTATTTCGGAGGTTTCATACTAATAAAACCTAATTAACGCCCACTTTTTAATCCAACATCTGTTTTTGTATTTCCCCCGAAAATATAATCTGTAATCTACTTTCACAGCTGCAATGTGCTGGATCATTTCTGTTGCTTTCGACAGATAACCTATGATCATCATTACAAAAAGTTATAGTTTGTAAACAACAAATTACAGTACAAATGTACAAAAAGTAATGTACGTGTTATTGGTGCTCGGGTTTCACCATTGAAAAAAGGACCATGTGTATTTTGATTCAATAATGTTTGTAAAAAGTCAACAAGGCATTTGCATTCTGGAAAATGCGCCAATATTGTGTGTTATTATGCACAATATACCTCAGTTTACACACACACACACACACACACACACACACACAAAAATCACCCGTATAGCTATATGTTATTACAAAACTATTGACTTCAATGGAAACAAGTAATGAACAACTGTTTTTAAGTATCTGGGAGAAGGCCCCTATTTAGGCTTTTGCGGATGCTGTTCATAAAGGTCAACTGGCTTCAGGCGTCTCCTTCGGCGGCACGTTGTCCGGCCCGTAGTGCGCTTTGGAGGTGGAGGGGACGTTGATGTTGGGGTCTCCGTTATTGGCCGTGTCTATCTGGTTGCCCTTGCCGAGGCACTTGATGATGTTCAGGTTGGTGCGGGCGGTTTCCATGAAGCTGTTTTCCAGGAGCCAGCCGTCGGACTCTGAGTTCGGGTCACCCTGCCTGACCACGTTCTCCAGAGAAGTCTGCAGGTAACGAACCCCTGTCAACACAGACAGCTGGGACAAGACACGCACAAACGTTTGGGTGACGACATCGTGAAAGCACATAACGATACATTTGTACTTATGATATGTAACCGAGTGAAGGACAATAGGACTTTCAAAAATCGTTCACAATATAGTATTTAAGGTAAGTCCTAAAAAAATGTCTTCGCAAAGTATGCCATAAAAGAGGTCATAGTTAAAACGTTCAAAATATGGTGTTAAATGAAAAATGTAATAGTATGTTGTAGTAGTAATATAGTACTATAGTAATGGTATGCCATATTATTTATAAAACAAGTCATATAATTGTATGTCATAAAAAGCCCTATGATATGCAATGCTGCAAAAAAACAATAAAAATGAATGTATTGTATACGGCACTAAAATGACAACGCTTCACAATCGATGCAGCACCACCAGTTAATACCATGCAACATCCTTGTGTGTGTGTCTGTGTGTGTGTGGGGGGGCTACAATAAGAGGAGTTCCCCTCCGACATCGTGCGTGTCATCGCCTCTCCTCACCTCAAACAGCCAGGTGATGAGCACGGTGAGGCCGATGGACTGCATGATGTCCGTGTAGTACTCCAGCAGCGCCTGGCGGCAGCCTTTCACCCACAGGTTCAGCTCCTCCGTCTGGTGCTCGTAGTTGAAGTGTGCGGAGTTGTTGGTGATCCGCTGCTGGATGCAGGGCCGAGGGGAGTTGGTGTTGCAGCAGCTGAAGGGGACCCCGTCCGTCAGGTACTTGCCCTCCACGTTGCTCCTCAGTCGGCTGGAAGGCAGGAAAAAAAAAAAGCGTGTGTGGAAGATCCAACTTGTGTGTATCATTGTGTGGCTCTTTTGTGTTGGCTGAAACAAGATGACTATTCACAGATTGTGGTTATAGTGTTTCAGGGCTTTTTTTTTCTTCAGTTAAAGACTTAATGTGAAACCAAATACACAGGTGTCTGATCTCTATGTATATTATTGGGGATGCTTTTCACTCCAATGTTGGCCCCTCCTTTGCTTTAGTCAGCATCAAGAACAAAACATTTTAACTTATTTGAGTTTAGTCCGTTTTTTTACAATTGTATTATTCCTAACACAGATATGTCTGGAATATTCATGATTTAGATTTTGTTGGAACTTTTTCAGTTTGATTTTATAGGGACACCTTTCTATATTTAAGTTTCAAATCGCATTGCAATGTGTATATTTTTTGTAATGTGTCGCCTCTTTAGCCACCAGGTAACCAAGTTACACCAACACATATTTAAAAATAAATAGGCCAAAGGTCTTCTTTAAACTGTCCCTTTTTTGACTTCATCTACAGAACCGGAGTCCTCGTTCTGTACTTTGCACTTACTCCACCACCTCTTTTTGGGACATATCCAGGTACCGGTTGCTGATCCACTGTATGTAAAACCAGTCTCTGTAGCCATTGTTCCCACAGCAGTGGAACTCGATCTGCAACATGTCCACCGTCCGCTTCAGGAAGCATCGCCCCGGCGTGTCCGTGTCCTTGTAGAACCGTATGGCGTCCGTCAGCCCCAGGTTCAGAGACTCCTCCAGCTCCCCTCGCATGCTGTAGCACATCAGAGCTCCTACCAGCACGCAGAAGGTGAAGAAGAAGGTGCACACTATGTAGGGCAGCATGATCAGCTTCCAGCGCAAGAACTTGGTGGTGTCCACGCAGTCGTAGCAGATCTTTCCGCCCAAGAAGTTTATGGCACAGGCGATGAGGCCCACGGCAATCAGCATGTTGGGCACGTACTGGATGTCCCTCTCCGCCATCAGCTCCCCTCGCTTGTTGATCTCCACCTTGAGGAAGAGCCCCAAGCTGAAGAGGAGGATCCCGGTCAACACTGAGATCCAGTTTAGGATCCACAGCACCTGAGCCAGCTTGTCTCGCTTGTTCTTGGTGAACTTCATTCTTAAGACCGCCATTGTGTGTGTGTGTGTGCCTTGTAAAGTTGTGTGTGTGTGTCCCTTGTAAAGTTTCCTTTTGCGTCTAAGGGGGATTAATGGTGGGACACAGGTGGAGCATCCGAGAGGAAGCGGTTAACCTCCAGGGGCTGCGGGGGAACCAAGGGGAGGGGGATCGGTTTTACACTTCTCTGAAGGTCCTCTCATAAGCAGCTTAGCCCCGCTAGTCATGATCAATATCTTGTGGACGCTGCATTGTAGTTTTACTGTAGATGAAGCAGACCTGGGAAAGTATGAAAAAGATATATTCTCACACAACAGCACAATTTCTTTTTCTCAGTTGTACGCAAACTAGAAGCGAGAAATGTTCAACAACATGTACTTTGATTAAAAAAACAAACATCTTTCTTTTGAACCCAGTTAGAAAGGCATTTCTCTCTGTGCAAAGCGCCAACGAATAACATGTAATAAATACCTGGCATGTACCTCATCCAGGTCAGCGTCCCCCCTCAACATCTGGCATTATTCTTCTCTCATTTTCAGTTTGTTTCCCCTCAGACATCCTCACATGTATTCCAGAGGGAGGCGAGGAGTCGCAGCGGCACCGATAGCATGAGGGTAACCACGGCAGCATCAGTGAGACTAGTAGCAAAGTCCTGAACCTCATCCTAATCCCCCTTAATCATTAATCAACCCTCTGGGTCCGAGAGGGATTTGGACCCACCTTCTGCCACCTACGCAAATCTGACTGTCGCAGCCCTGTGAAAGTAACGCTCCACGGCCACGGTGTTTGTTTTCATAGTGGAGGAAGAAAGAGGTGATATCCGTTTTGCACATTCTGATAAGTGATGTTTTATCGTTAATCGTTCCCATTACACATCCATTCACTTACACGCAAAGGATTCTGAATGAATTATTTTTCAACTAACAACATGTCAACATGAGCTGCCCGCACACGCATGATCTAAAGAAGTAAAGAAAGGTCATGAAGGGTAAACGCTGGGTTTAAACTATGTGATTGTCAAACAGAAATTGCTTCTTGAAAATTGAAAATTCTTTTCATTTTCTTGACTGATTGTTTTGTTTGTAAAATATAAGACAAATGGCCGTTATATTTGATCATATTTTATCATTCCCTCCTGCAGTCTTCCATTCATTCTTACTGGTCCACGATATTCTGTTTCCAGATTCTAATTTCAACACGCGTACGCACACACAGACTGCGAATCAGCCAATGAAATGTTGACTGAGAGTGAGTGGATTAGTGGATTAACATTTTCCCAACTAGCTTGTGTAAGAGGAGAACGTTACCGTGGCCACCGGGCCAGTCAGCTAATCCACGAGGCAGACGGAACACGCAGGAAACGACCGACAGGAAAACCAGACCAGGCAAGTATCGAGAATCCCACTTATCCTTAGGAAAAATGTATAGAGGCAAAAATGCTCAAAATGCTGACTAGCACATTCACAGTTTAATCTGTTGCGACACAAATGATCTAATTATGGAAAAGTGTCTAGCAGGTTTATGTGCACAAGTTATTCAAGCACATGAGAACATTCATAGGAGCCATCGGTTGAACTCCAGCACTAAAGATGTCTACATGACTGACCTCTCTGTGATCGAATATAGGTGCCAGCATTTGTTTTTGCTTTTCATTTACGGCCCCTTGAATCCCACCATGTGACCTCCCTTCTCTTAGGGTGTAGCGGCCCCTCGGATCGATTGATCAAGACGCAGAGAGTTTCAAACGGGTGTTGATTTATTTCGTTTCTCTCGACGAGCACCATAAGCACCATGACGTCGTGAACACCTTGAACACCATGAACACCGTGAAAACTACAGAATGAAACAGAAGAAATACACAATGCTTCTATGTAGTTTCAACAATTAACTTATACAAAATAATGTTTACACTCGATACAGGTCATTTGAAATACTAGCCAAAGTGAAATAAAATATGTTTAAAACGCTATGACAAATAAAACATCACATGCATCCTTCATACCTCAATCCGCTCTCCAAGGGCGCTAATCAAAGGAATTTCCTCCACCTGCTAGCATCTCGGCACACCCTCATAATTAGGAGCTTTTTGAAATGACAGGTACCAACAATACAAAACAATGAAATAAATTACGATTTAAACTTTCTTTACATCATTCGAATGTATTTACCACGATACATAACTAATAAGTTTACAAGTTTTACCCTTGCTTCGACGATGTGTGACTTCCACGTTGCAAAAGTAGCAGGAAGTTAGCGTCACAAAAAAAACGTAAGAAGAAGAAAACGGCGCTTTTCAAAATAAAAGCAGAACGGACCTTGTTAACACATGAATAGAACATTGTTTAGGAGAACTGCAATTCAAATCAGACATTTACACTCCCACCAAATCCTAGTACAATGAATGAACAAATAAGCAAAGAATAAATGAATGGTGCTGGATTTCTCGACTCTAAGAAATGAATGAATCATAATAAACCAGTGCGTGCTGTGTTGTCAATTAACTTTTTTCCAATCAGTTCTCAAGGAGGAGCACCAATTTTTGATTGGTCTCTCAATAATTGAGGGCTTGGAGGGAGGATCTTGTTTTTTATAGGGTTTCTTTTCCCCAACTTGCACTTTAACTCGACGAACTAAGCCATCACCACTTTGAATAGTTTCAATGACTCGTCCAAGTTGCCACTGATTTCTTGGGAGGTTGTCGTCATTAATAATGACAATATCATTCACCTTTAGGTTGCGCTGAGGTGAGTGCCATTTCTGTCTCAAAGATATGTTCAGCAGATACTCCCTTTTCCAGCGGCTCCAAAACTGTTCGATGAGATACTGAACTCTTCTCCACCTCTTTGTCGCGTACAGATCCTCCTTGACAAATACTCCAGGAGGAGGAAGAGCAACTTTAGATTTCATCATAATGAGGTGATTCGGTGTTATGGGCTCCGGTGCCTGTGGATCATTGATTCCATCTACTGTTAATGGGCGGCTGTTAACAATAGCCATGGCCTCATACAGCAGTGTTCTGAGGGAGGCATCATCCAGTCGACCTGGGCACTGTGCAAAGGTGGCATTCAGCACATTTCTGACAGTCCTGATCTGGCGTTCCCAGACGCCTCCTGCCTGACTGTCAGAGGGAGCATTGAAGACAAATTCGCACTGCTTCTCAGTCAGGAAAGTTTCCAGTAGTTTAGTGTCACATTGTTTAAGTGCTTCCTTGAGCTCATTTCTGGCACCAACAAAATTAGAGCCTTGGTCACAGTGCAGTTGCTGAACAGCTCCTCTCAGGCTGATGAAGCATCTCAATGAGTTGATGAATGAGTCTGTTGACAAATCTTCGAGCATTTCGATGTGAACAGCTCTAGAGTACAGACATGTGAAAATCAAGCCGTATCTTTTGTATTCTTTGCGGGCTTTCTTTACAATGAAAGGGCCAAAACAGTCCATGCCGCTGTATGTGAAAGGTGCCGAGGCTTCAACGCGTTCTTTGGGAAGTTCGGCCATTTGCTGTCTCTCTGTTGGCCGTCGCAATTTCCTGCAAAACACGCAAGTGTGTATCAGCTTAGCAACCAACTTGCTCCCACCAATTACCCAGAATCCATTGGCCCGAAGCTCCATTAAAGTCTGGCTTCGACCTTGATGGCATGTCTTAGCGTGGAAATGGGATACAATCAGCTTGGTGATGTGGCTGTTATTTGGTAGGATGACTGGATGCTTGATTTTGTGACCGAGTGATGACTGTTTCAATCTCCCACCAACACGGAGGAGTCCTTCAGACCAAATAGGATCGAGACGGAAAAGAGAGCTTGAGTTTGGAAGGTCTCTTTTACCTTGAAGCATCTTTATCTCATGAGGGAAGGCTTGCAGCTGTACGATCTTTATCACTTCGTCTGCAGCGTTCTCATGCTCCTTAACAGTCACATACTCACTGGGTTGTTTTGTTTTAACCCCAAGCCTCTTAATTCTTGCAACTACTTTAAGAATTGTCGTCCAAGAGGAAAACTGACTTAGACGTCCGAGGATGTCATTGTAGTTTTTGACTTCTGTTGCAAGCACCTGAATTGTCTTGACTTCCGGATCACCAACGAGTAATTCTGATGGGGCGCTGGGTGTTAGAAGTAACTCACGCTCCCAGAGAAACTTTGGTCCTCGCAGCCAGTTTGTTGAATGAATGTCTGAAGCACGAAGACCTCGGGAGGCATGATCTGCCGGATTTTCTGCGGTGTCCACATAGTGCCACTGACTGGGATCACTGTTATCCCTTATCAGCTGAACACGGTTTGCGACAAATATGTGGAACCTACGGGCATCATTGTTAATGTACCCAAGCACAACTTGTGAATCTGTCCAGAAAAATTCTTCATCAATCCTTATGTCAAGTTCAGCTTTTAACATGACACTGACTTTTGCAGAAACCACAGCTGCCGTGAGTTCTAGCCTCGGGATGCTTGTGACATTTGAGGGTGCAACCCTTGCTTTTGCCAACACAAGACTGCAATGGACTTCATCCATGTCATTTTTGTATCTGAGGTAAGAACATGCACCGTATCCTACGCAGCTGGCATCCGAAAAATGGTGCAACTCTACTCTAACAATGTTGTGGAAGTTATACGGGTGATAACATCTCGGAATTGAAACCTCTTTCAACTTGTGCAGACCATTTTTCCACTCCTCCCACCGTAGCATCATATCTTCTGGGAGCGGATCATCCCACCCGATGCCTCGGTGACACAGCTCTTGAAGTATACGCTTTCCCGTTAGGCTGAATGGAGCGATGAATCCAAGTGGGTCATACAGAGAGGCAATGACCGAAAGGCAACCACGCCGGGTTGAAGGCTGATCTTTCAAGCTGCTATTAAAGCTGAAAGTGTCAGTTTTAATTGACCATTGAATGCCGAGTGCACGTTCTGACGGGGTTGGATCCAGTCCTAGAGGTTCGATGGTTGCTGCTCTTTCTGAGGGATTTAAGCAGGTGAGAGCTGCTTCCTCGTTTGAGTTGAATTTATGAAGGCGTAGGCCTCCTCTTTTGCACAACTCCTGTGACTCAGTGATAAGTTTCTTGGCTTCCTCGATTGATGAGACACTGACTAACCCGTCATCAACATAAAAGTTTTTCTCCACAAATGTTGATGCTAGTGGATAGGTGGCTTTGTGTTGCCGTGCCAGATGTTTCAAGCCAAAATTGGCACATCCTGGAGACGATGCAGCTCCGAAGAGATGAACTGTCATCCTGTATTCCTGTGGTTCCTTCTCCAAATCTCCACCTTTCCACCAGAGGAATTTCAGATAATTCCTGGCTTCAGGAGTGACGGAGAACTGATAAAACATTCTTTCGATGTCACAGATGATCGCTACGGCCTCCTTTCTGAAGCGGCAAAGAACTCCTACCAGTGGATTGATAAGATCAGGCCCAGTTAGAAGAGTGTCGTTTAGAGAAACGCCATGGAATTTGGCTGAACAGTCGAATACGACTCTCAGTTTGTCTGGTTTTCTGGGGTGATAGACGCCGTGATGCGGAAGGTACCACTCTGTCTCTCCCTCGGATGTTGTAGGGACAGGCTCTGCATCACCCTTGTTAATTGTTTCTTCCATGAATGTTTTGTATTGATCATGGTATTGTTTATTGGTCTTTAATTTCTTCTTAAGACACTGCAGGCGAACTGTTGCTAGCCTCTTGTTGTTTGGTAGGTTGGGTGGCGTGTTGCTCTTGAAAGGGAGTGGCATCTGATAATGTCCGTCCTTTTTCTGCGTGATGTTGTCACTGAGGAACTGTATGAAACGAACATCATTCTGAGACACATATTTATCTTCATAAGTTCTCTCAGTGAAGTCCGATTCTAGGGCCTTTAGAACATCTGTCGCCGATGGATTTGGCAGTTCTTTTACTGTGAGCCGATGCACAAAGCTCTGACTTCCTTGTCTGTCTAGGTGGGGGTTTGATGTGCCTATGATACTCCATCCTAGTTCTGATCTCTGTGCAAACGGTTGATTTTTGTCCCCAATGATAACTTCAAGAGGAGCTAGCGCTGACGGACAGTCATATCCAATCAGGAGCCCTACATCACAGTCTTGAAGGGGTGGTAGCTTATCTGCTATATGTCTGAGATGCGGCCACCGTAATGCGGTTTCCTTCGTTGGGACGTAAGACTTGTCCACCGGGATAAAATCACGGCTGTAGGCTTGCTGTACTTGGATGTGGTTCTTGGAATGCAGTCCTCGAACCTGTAGACCATGGACGTTCTTGCTAGATATGATTGTGTCAATAGCTGTCATAGTACTCAGTTTCAGTTGTACTTGTTGGGTATCTACATTCAATTTGTCAAGTACATCTTCTAAGACAAACGTTGAATCACTCTGTGTGTCCAGTATTGCGTACGTAAGTACTTCTCTGTGTGGTTCTTGTATTGAAGACACAAGAACTGGCACGATACTCGAGGTAGCAGAAGCATGGTGTGTTGATGCATGGGATACGACCTTATGCGTTTCCAAGCTGGCATGGTTTTCCGTGGAAGGAGAGCTATTCGTTGACGCTTCCACAGGTCTTTGTTTCCTGTCTTCGTGCAAGCAGGTTGGGTGACGACGGCTGCATATGTCGCATGTGTGCCGTCTCTTGCAGTCTTTGGTAATGTGACCCTTCCTCATGCACCCAAAGCAGAGCCGATTTTCACAGATGAATGCCCTTTTGTCTTCACCACTTTTCGCCGCGAATATGGGACACTTGGTGATGTTATGAGCTTCACTTTTACAGACGGAGCAAGGCGATTTAAGTTTACTGACGTGTGTATCTTGTTTCTCCTGAACGAAACTCTTTGTTTGCGTATTTGTGTTGAGAGCCTTGGCTCGCTTTGGTGATCTTTCATCTGTGGCTTTGAAATTTATCAACCATGGAGAAGCAATAGGATTGCAGGCTATCCGTGCCTCTTTGCTCAGGAACTTTGTAAAGCATGCAAGATCTGGATAGTTTCCAGATGTGTCAAGTTCGTCTACAACAATTCGACTCCACTTGCGCACGATCCAGTCTGGTAGTTTTTTAAGCAACTTGTGGTTTTCCTCACAATCGTTGAGGATAGCTAGTCCTTTGACGTGTGGGATCGCCTCAGTGCAGCCTTGGAGGAAGTCAGCAAATTGTTGTAGGGCTTGTGGGTCGTTTGTGCTGATCTTTGGCCACCTCATGAGCTTATCTCGGAAAGCCTTCTGTATGGTGAACGGGTTCCCATATCTGTCTTGTAAGACTCTCCATGCTCCGCTGTACGCGCTCTCTGAATCTCTATAAAAGAAACCTTCTACAGCTTTGCGCCTCTCCAACAAGATAATTTTTTAGATAAAACATCTTCCCACTTTGTGGGAGGGGTTTTCTGTCAATAAGAGCTGTGAATTGCATCTTCCAATCGGTAAACTGTAAAGGGTCACCACTGAACTTAGTTGGTTCAGGAACCGGCAAGCGATTCATGCTTAATGAGCTGGCGATTGCTTGGGCCAGACTGACAGACTCCAGGGTCATCGTCTCAGCTTGATGAGGTTGAAATGATGCAGCATCCGGATTTAATCGAGGTTCATTTTGCATTCTGTCATTAATCTCATCATGGTTCTCAAAACCTTCCAAATCGTCATATGCTCTCAGACGAGCTGCTGCTACAGCAACGTCCTTTTCTGCCTGTAACTGTTGCAATTTGGCTCTCTCTTGTTCCAACTGTTGTTGTATTTCGACCTCCTTTTGTTTCATTTCTGCCAACATTTTTGCTTCTTTAAGTTTCCATTCACCCTCTAACTTGTGAAGATGTGCTTGCTGCGCTTGGATTTCTTTCATGGCCTTCGATTGTTCCAGTTTAGCCGCAAGCTCTGCTTGTGCATCTACTCTACTGCTGTGGGTACTAACTGAGCTGCAGCGGTTGTTCGATCTCTCCGATGACTTTGCTGAGCTTACCGTTTCAGTTTGGGTGTGACCAAAGACAGACCCATATTCATCTTTGTTTAATGTTTCTCTCACCCTTTCCTTCTCAAGTTGGTCATTATAATCTTGATTAATAGTCTCTAGACGGTCGCTTATGAGGTCACAAATGTCTTTTGTTAGTGTAACACACGCATCCATTTTCTTTACAATCTCTGGTGTGGTATTACTGTTACGTAGAATGGGTTCATACTGCTGGCTTACGTCATCATGCTTTGCTTGAATGCCTTGCTGTAATTCGTTAAGGTCTTCCAATGAACAGAGAGTTTTTAACTTTGTTCTGGTCTCCCTTGCTACCAGCCTCCAAGAGTCATAGGTCTTGTTAAATGCTTTCTCACGTTTTCTTGTCTCTTGGTCATGAATCTCTTGGCCTTTCTCTGTTAGCTTTCTTTCACGTGAGCTGGACCTGCATGGTGTGTCTTTAAGTGACATCTTGTTTGTGCTGCTGCTGCTTTACTTCGAGTGTAGCCTTTGATTGTGTTATGCCTGAATTTACACTTGTAAGCTGTAGTTATCCTTTACCACAGAGTAATATTTATGCCAGGCATTAACAGATTATGTACATCCAAAGGATTTTTAGCATGAACAGTAACAACAAGATTTTTTCTTCAACTCTTTCTTAAATAGACATGACACAAGCACATGAGTCAGTTTCTTGAAATAGTCACCATTTTTGAAGCGTTAGGCACAGAATCTTAGCTTGCAAGTTATTTTTGACCTTATAATACCATGTTATTATTTAAGTCGCTTCAGTTATGCTGTAAGCTTGCACTTGTGGAAATAGTTATTTTTCAGTCCTTTTGCTTCTTAGCATCCAGTGTCTTCTTTTGCATCTCTAGTTGTACCTTAAGCATGTTGTCCATTTTAAGTCTTGTCCAGGTGCAGGAGTTGGAAGCGAAGTAAACTGGCTGGTAGTTGGACATCGGATGTGATGGCGTCAGATTCTCATCATGGATGGCAGGGCTGGTGCAGCGTTGAGTTTTCACTGTAGCGGCCCCTCGGATCGATTGATCAAGACGCAGAGAGTTTCAAACGGGTGTTGATTTATTTCGTTTCTCTCGACGAGCACCATAAGCACCATGACGTCGTGAACATCTTGAACACCATGAACACCGTGAAAACTACAGAATGAAACAGAAGAAATACACAATGCTTCTATGTAGTTTCAACAATTAACTTATACAAAATAATGTTTACACTCGATACAGGTCATTTGAAATACTAGCCAAAGTGAAATAAAATATGTTTAAAACGCTATGACAAATAAAACATCACATGCATCCTTCATACCTCAATCCGCTCTCCAAGGGCGCTAATCAAAGGAATTTCCTCCACCTGCTAGCATCTCGGCACACCCTCATAATTAGGAGCTTTTTGAAATGACAGGTACCAACAATACAAAACAATGAAATAAATTACGATTTAAACTTTCTTTACATCATTCGAATGTATTTACCACGATACATAACTAATAAGTTTACAAGTTTTACCCTTGCTTCGACGATGTGTGACTTCCACGTTGCAAAAGTAGCAGGAAGTTAGCGTCACAAAAAAAACGTAAGAAGAAGAAAACGGCGCTTTTCAAAATAAAAGCAGAACGGACCTTGTTAACACATGAATAGAACATTGTTTAGGAGAACTGCAATTCAAATCAGACATTTACATAGGGCACCATGCTGGATCCGGAGAGCCAGTGGTCCGAGGCGTTAGCCAGCAACAACATACGAGCCATCATCCGCTGGCTGCGGCGGCTCACTGCTGAAGGTACATGAGGAGCATTTTACGACCATCAGATCAGAATTCTGTACAGAGACACGCAAAGAAAACCCCTTTTATTAATTGAGTGCGTTTCAGTAACATTTCATCTCCAATACTACATTACTGCAGGGGAGGCTCATGTGAAAGAAACCCAACTGACTTTCATCATCTGGGTACAGAGGACATCAGAGTTGGCTAAAAAGGAGCTGTTAACACTTTGTGAGCACATGTTCCTTTTTCAAACACTCTCCAAGGATCGTTTTCTTATATTTTCATATATACAGTGTGTTTAAATATGTTTTTGTGTCTTCTACTAGGTCTCAGCTGCAGCCAGGGCCTGTGGATGTTTCTGGACCGCAGCTCTTTCCACATGGTGCACACGCTGCTCCAGAGACTGAGCAACTTGCTCACCCTGGCCCAGTGGGCTAGAAGGCAGCAGGGTTCGGCCCACATCTGGCACGGTACACTGGAACAACACGTCGATATCAGTCCCTGCAGTTGTCCTAACCAATTCACATGTAAATTCCACATTTTTATTATTTTTTTAATTCATTTTTTTAGTTATGGGGGTCCCATGTACGGTCTGCAGGGATTCATTCAGATCCTCAGAAAACGGACATGGCTGCTGGAGCCGAGAGCACGGGGCACTAAAGCAACACATCTGGCTGGGGCGGCTGGTCCAGTGGTGGGCCATCATGGGTCTTCTGCCCAAGTACCCTGGTACGGATAAAAATCACACAGGGTACATTATATCGATGAGCTGATATTATGTACCCAAGATAGTTTTCCTGTTGTCTGCTTAGATGCTCACGGGCTGAAACACATCACACAGATGTGGAAGGAAATGGACCACAGCCACCGGAAATCATTAGAGACACCAGGGTAACGCCAATGATTTACCAAAGCTTCATTCTCCCTCCCGCCGTAGTTTCTCTTTTTATTTTTTCTGTGCTTTTCCAATTCGATGGAACGATTCAGGTCTTTGATACAGGGTATGGTCACTCAGCTGGACGGACAACGCGGCTGCATTTGGACCTCTGAGGAATCCACGGAGCCGTGCTATCCTCCTCCTAATCTACAGGCCCTGCTGAAGCTTGTGTTGGTGCCTCACATGGACCACAAGTCAGTTCAAGCGATCGTATCCATCCAAATACAATATCAGCATATTCTATGGAACACACTGTACATGCCCCTTGTCTTCTATTCTTGATTCTACATACTACTGTAAATGTGATTCAGGTTATTAGATCTTAACTTAAATGCATCACAGCTCATGTACTTTGTCCTGGATATGGCGAACTTCCTGCAGTGCAAAGACGACCTCCTCCGATCTTTTTGCCTCGCTTTCACTATTTCCCGCAACTTTTCCCAACAAATCAGGGCCTTCTGGATGCTTGACCGTGGACACGTCAAGGTAAATAACCAAGGAGCAAACTATTCATACACTAAGTGAGTGACCGCTGCTAACTTCATTAGCTATGAAGTCATTGAAATGAGCCTGTGCAAGCTGACGAGTGTGGAGGAAACATTTCAAAAGTTAGAAGAAAATATTTAGTCTTTGTCATGTCGCATTGTATCCAGGCCTCCATGGAGTTACTGCTGAGCCCCGGGGCTGCTGCACCCAGCCTCCCTTGGCAGCATCGTTGCATCATCCGCTGTCTGCTAACAAGGAAGCGGCCTCAGCTGGCGCTAAGGTACCTCCGCTGGACCGGACCCGCGTTAGAGAGCACCGAGGACACCAAGCTCTGCACAGATGTGCTGCTTCAAAACAGGTACGCTAATGGCCGGCTGGTCGTGCATTAAATCATCACTAATTGTTTTATTGCGTGTCACTGACGGTGTCTCTGCTCGCCAGTCGCGTATCTGAAGCCTGGGCTCTGCTGAGGAGAAGCAACGTGGAGCGTGACCACATGGTCATGTACTTCCTCCAGGCTTGTAATGGGTTGGGTCTGTGTGCACAGGCTTTAAAGGTCATCCCTGCACCATATAACGTGAGTCAATGTCTAGTAAGACAGAAAAAAGACATATTCAACAAAGATTATTGAGCTGTGAAATGTGTTTTCCCTCTTAAAAAAAAAAGGATGAAGGGGACATTAAAAATGAAACTGCAAAATCACAGTTGGCACTCATGAAGAAAGGTAGGGCAGATTAAGTGAATTCTTTTGAATGGCGTCAGAACAAATGAAAATGCATCGTATTTAACCGTGAGATTTAAGTAACAGATCTGTCAGCAGGAACAGCGCCGTGTCCACTGTCTGCCAAACTGTACCAGGCTCACAGAGTCACAACCGTGTCCCCAGAGGACCTGGTTCAACTAGTCAGGAAGGCGGTGATAGGAGTGAGACAGCCACCTTCTAAAATAAGGTACTGCACTTGTATATTCGTAATTGTTTCTTTTTTAATTAAATATAGTTAGAAATATAGTCTGTAAAGGGGCCTCCCATAAACACAGTATACACCAGCATATGTTACACATGAAAGATATATTCCAGTACCCCCAAGAACTGAACAGAGCGTTGATCTGCGTTCTTTATTCCAGTGAGGTGGTGTGGCCACATCCCAGTGCGAGACAATCCAACAGCAGAGAGACGTTTTTGTCAACGCCGGTTCTCCGTCTCCTCACAAAGGACGATGCAGAGCGAGCACCACGCGCAGATGAACCCAGAGACGAAAGGCCCGTCCACAATGTACGCAGCATGACTGTCGCTGTGAAGAAATGACCACAGCAGTACAGACACATTGATTTTCAGGAATTTTGATCTTTGCCATTTGAAATCTTTTCTTGTCGCAGCAGCGACCTCGGGCGCCGGAGCACATTTCTTCTTCTTCTGGAGACCTGGGCTGCGAGTCTGTCCCCGTCATCACCTCAGCCTCCTGCTCGCCTCCGTCGACGCAGGACCATCCTTACGTGTACCAACGTACATTGACTCTGCAGAGGATCTCGTCTTTCCTCTCTGAGGGAGAGAACCAACACGGGGAGGAGGAGGAGGAGAATGAGGAGGAGGTAGAAGAAGAAGGGAGCAGAACCCCTTCATCAGCTGACGCCTTGTCAGATTGCACTGAGAAGACGGTGACACTAGATGGCGCCACACACCCTATTTCTGTTATCAACAACGACATCGAGATAGAGCTGGGGCTTCCTGCAGAAGGTTTGTCTGTGATTTTATTTGTAAGTCATTTACATCAAGAGACATCCTGGGGATAAAAGAAATTTCAAAAATATAAAAATGTAAGTAAAACAAACTTTTATCTTCAGAGAAAATGGTCCGCTGTAAAGGAGAAGAAATCATCGTCAGTCCCCCAGATGTCACCGATCTGAGGAGTGCTGCGACGTCACTCAACCAAGAAGAGCAATCGGCCTGCATTCCCTCGCATAGTTTCCGTCTCACTTTCAGTCAAGGCCTCTCCTGCGCCACGTCCCGAACTACGCAGGACCTGCCGACCGGCCCCCATCTGAGCCCTCTGGCAGAGGATCCTGTTGCCAGGAGCTCAAAGGCCTCAGCGGGGACTGGTCAGCAGGACGTATCCCTTCTCTCCAGCACTGTTACACCCAATCTGACCCCTAACCTGACCTGCAGCGTCATAACCACCTCTGCTCCTGCTGGCACCGCCAGTGGAACCCCCCCGAAGGCCCAATTAAAGATGGATGAGCCCCGTGCCGGGCACACAGCGGCCCCGCTCTCTCACGGCAGAGTGGGCAGATGGCGGAAACGAGACCTTGAAACCTGCAGAGCTTCTTCTGGCCTTCCTCCTGCGCCAGCGCCAGGAGCAACTATCGCATCAGGTGAAGACTTTGGGACCTTTTTCTACGTCAGCGGTCGGATGCAAAGTGTTTTTAGGTTATGCGTTCAGCCGTCCGTCATACGTGACTTTAAACATCTTTACATAGATCCCTGTTTAAGAGTTCGATGTGTGTACGATGTGTGTGCCGTGAATCATTCCTAAAAAAAAACTCACTCCTCCATTTTCACTTCCAGTAGTATTTGTATGTATCCAACTGTCCGGCATCTGTCAATAACTTGAGTTGCCTCAAATGAGCCAAATTGTCACCAACGCGTTAAATGTATAATCTACCAGCTGCAGAGTCTAGACTCCAGTAGGGAACATTCCTCATCCAGCCACAGCATGACTTTAACGTACTACGTCCCAGCGTACACTGTTAATAGTCTAACATTTAATAAACCGTGTCACTCAAATTGAATTCTCTCTTGATTAAATGAAAATGTTTACGCATCTGTGTATATTTTTATAACTTTATAGAATGTGTATTTACTGCATCCCTTAAGACATGTTCATGATATATTTTATATTCACCACATTATTACTTTTTTTTACATACCATGAATTACTTTAACTGTTTTCAACATTATATTGTTTTACTTTTGACGGCATTTATATTAGGAATTTTTGCTACATTACTTAGGCATACTATACTAGACATTTTTTCAACATATCACTTACATAATATATGAGGAATTTTCATATTTTCATACATTCCTTTTCCTAACGTGTTTTTTTTTTTTGCCAACAATTCTATGAATTTGCTATATATGAGAACAAAAACTATCTTGCTAGTCCGCAAAGATAATCAAATGTGGGCTACCAGTTGCCTTGTTGACATTCACCGCTCCTAAAACATTGCAAAAGGTCATTAGCAATATCATAATTGAAAACCCAATTCATGTCACTGCTAGCTGGGGTCCGAGGATGAATAAAATCTGTTTGTATTAAGGGTGGACATGATTGTGTGTCAGAGGTGCTGCTGTTCACTGCAGGGTGCAGGACACCAGCACATGTACCAGAGGCAGGTGGTCTTGGCAGCTAGGGGAGGTTGGGGGGCCGAGGAAGTGATTGGTTCCCTTAACCTTGCTGCAGCAGTCAGTGATCCATAAAGCAACCCCTTCCCCCACACGTTCTACTGGGGGACTGTCAACCACTGTGAGCAGACCTCCCTCCATCTGCTGAATCCCACTAATCACCATTCGGCGTTCGGGATCTACGGCCTATTGCCGCACGCCCAACATGACTGACACAAGAGTGGAAGGCATAACTGCACCAATGCCCCATGAAATTAACCAAATACTGTGTTTGTCTTTTCTATTGCAGGTGATTTTTGCAGCGATTAGTTTATTACAACGGGTGAGATTCTAACAGGATCTGATGTTGTTTTAATTAAAGTTGGTTTCTGTCCATTCACAGATAGTTGGAGACCGTCTCTTGTAACATGCCAACCATATTCCTGCAGTCTGGTCAACTTTGGGGACTTCAGTGTGAAGCTAAACGGAGACAGCAGAGAGGGCAAAAAGGTACTTTTTGTACTTGTGTTTTAAATGACATATAATGTACATAGAAGCGGTGCCATAGTCAAACAGAAGGAGGCACAAGCCAGTCCGGCCAGTAGGAGTCACTGTTGTTCCAGCCAGGAAGCTTTCCAACGTCCTCGTATTCGGATGATCTCATTTCTGGTCCCTGGGGATTTTGCTTCATCCCAACACAGCAGGTGCCCTCTTTACTACCCTTCATCCCCCTTTCTCCTGTCCTCCAGCATGAGCACCATTGCTTTTAAGAGCTCCGCCTGAAATGATGTCATTTTTCCAAACATAAAGCACCAGTGATGTGGAGGGCCTGGGGACGTGAATCAATTGTATTCGTATGTTGAAAGTACGAGTATGGAGTCAAATGTGCATGAAATACCGCAGAAAGTAGCTATTATACAATTTTCTAAAATACAACGCCTCACACTGATGTCACCTTTTTATAGTGCATCATTTCCCTGTTTGGCAGCAACCTGGACATTACGCTGCTAAGCACTATTATATCATCGCATGGATACGACCAGGTAATTGTTTTACCGAGGCTTCATTGGATAATTGCTTGATTGGGATGCAGTCACCTCACTATTATCCTCAGAATTAGAGAACACATGAAGCTTGGCAGGCGAAATGTGATTAGGCCATGTTCATTTATGAGAACCCGATACTGTACAAGCACTGTGTGTCTATCAAGGACAATCTGTTTGGGACGTGTGCATGTTTGTAGTAAATGCATTACATCCATTAACTTGCGGTCTCAGAGTGTGTGTTTCATGGGGTTGTTTTGAAAGAAGTGCTGTTAGTGTTATCTAATCGTCCATCCAGGCTTTACATGACGCTGTCTAGGATTTTCTTAATTACCAGATAGTAAGATAATAATGACTAATGTGTGAAAATGAGTTGAAGACAATCACTAACAGGCCTTTATCTTTTTATAAGCCAGATTGGCCGAAGATAAGAGAAGCAGGATATTAAAGTTATCAGTGTAAACTACAAATGTTGATCTCCTCCCATATGACCTCAAGCATGACTGTTTATGATGATTGAATCTTAGGAGCAAACCAGAGAGATCATGCTTCTTGAAAATATACCACAAAATGAAATGTATGAAAACAGCAATATTTGCATAGAGAGAGGCGGAGAATAGTGGTGATGTTGAATGTTGATAGGTTCAAGATTTGAGGGGAGACGAATGGCCTATATTAGGAGCATTTAATCAGTGCTTCCAGTCTCCTGCGCCTCCCCTGGGAAAAGATTAATGGGTACAGGATATTTCATCAGGCCCTCCACATCACTGCCCAGGATATGGGGATGTAATTGTGTCTGTTTTTGCTGTTGTTTTGTGTTGCAGGCAGACAAAGAGGAGCCTGCAGGTTGCCACGGTGCCGTAAGAAGTGGAAGAAAAGGAAAACGAGGAAAGAGAGCATGAAGATTTAGCACATCTCTGACACAGGGCAGTGGAGGACGTGTACTTTATTCTCTAAGTCTTTTGAAATGGTGGATCCTTCTTTTGATTCAGAAATTATTATTTTTATTATTATTTGAGTCTAAATATGAATTTGATTTATTCATTTATAGCGTTCTTGTAGGGATTAACTCACACCTGTATTAATTTACTGACTATTTATACTTCCACCTTGAAGTCATCCATCTCCCCTTCGACAGTGATCAACTGGTCACATCATTTGGCTTCTCCTATCAGAAATCTCTGCTACTTGGGGATATCGTCCTGTCACACCCTTTTCCTTCCACTGTCATACCACGTGTGAGAAAAACTCAATAATTAATTCCTCAGGAATTATTGATAAACCTAAATTATTAAATCTAGAGTATATCTAATCAAAACCCTGGTAAAATAAATGGTTTTGCTTGTGTTGTGTATTTTGTATTATCTGGTCAAAATTATGCACGTTGGTCCATTTCAAACATAAATGCACTACATTACAGTGATGGTGTCCTTGAAAAGGATTCTGTGCATAAGATTCTTTACTTTTTTTTTCCTCTTGAAAATAGGATGTTTGCCTATCTGCCATTGGATCTCATGAAAAATGGATGACCTCCCAATGCTTTCTGCTAGCCATCGCTCTCCATATTTGCAGAGGGCCAAGGGACTACATTTGGGTTAGCATTCTCCTCCTTCCCTCCCTCAACGGCTTGTTCTGGGGGGTGAATAACTTAACACATATTTCAGCTTGACACACTTTTGCACTGGGTCTCCACTGGGGGCCTAGTTCACAAGCCCACACATGCTGTATTATTTAAACGTGGGGCTTGGAGTTTGTGTGTGTGTGGATGTGCATGTAATCTCCTGCTTGTGTAAGACAGCAGTGCTGCATGGAGTTCTATAGGCCTTTTCCCTGCGACCTTGCAGGTGTGGCAGCACCTCTGTTACCAGATCATGTCTGCTCATGTTGTAAAGCTGAGACAACATCCGCGTAGCAGCAGAGTTATGGCTCCCTCCTCATTTCCTCCGACTTTTTTTTACTGTTCTTTTTTTATTAGACATTTTCTAAAGCTGCAAGCTGTGCAATACTCAAGTGATGATACATCAACAGAAAGGTCTAAACTGCGAAGGGATTTATTACAGCGAGTAGTCAGGTGGACAATTTATCATACACCAGATAAAGATCTTCCAGGGCAGAGAAAAGCCCAATGAGGGTGAAAACTAAGTAAGAATGATGCTTTAAAGCAAACCAAGACGACACACACACAATGACTCGAGCTAACCTGCGAGCTGGTAACATCATGGAAATCAAAGTGCTGCGATGCAGGAAAATGACACATAAATCATGCGCAAGGGAGAGGATGCAAAATGCTGCAGTAGATGGATACTAATAGCCGTCGGATGTCTGGAAAGCGCCACTATAAATACTTGTCTTTCTATTCTGTGGGATATTTCCCAGGAAACGGCTTTCCGATTTATATTCTCGGACACATAATGACTCAATGCCAGTTTCAAACGGCGCTTCTCACTTTACCGTTTCACATTTGCCATTTTCTTATCAGTATTAAAACCAATTTTTCAACAATAACATTATTTATCCCAACAATTTGCCTCATCCTGCAGCTCTATACAACAACAGGGCAAGGATTGTCTGAGTATGCAGATGCCTCCCCCACTGGAGGGCACTGTGGGCTTCACCGAGGCGGGCGCTTGAGGAAGGTTGAAAGACACCTTGGCCGGCTCACCAGATGGGCTCAGTGAAGCGTGTCAGATGGCTGTGACAGCTACCTGCCCGTCCTTAAGGACTGTCACCATGTATACACAAACCATTAATCTCATGTGTGACTGCACCGACTTACGTGTGTGTGTGTTTGTGAACAAGGGCAAGACTGCAATGAACCCTCTGAATGGACATACGTGAAGAGTTGCAGTGTCGCAGCCTGGCTCTCAGACTGCAACACAACAGGGAGACAAACGAGCGAGCTAAGAGGAATCAATTTATTGTTAGAAAAGGCAATCAAACAATGAAACGTGGAGGTATCAGTGGGGCGTGTGCATTTATGAGTGAGCACAAAACAACAGCGCCGGTGTCATGCCAGACCCAAGCCCCTTCTCCCCGAGGCCCCCCGGTGCCAAATGCAGAATGTATTAAAGGCGGGGCAACCTCGGCTCAGGTGTGGCTCCAATCGGCACCTGCAACAGACTAAAAACCACAGGGACCCAAAGGACGTGGGAGGAGGAGGGTCGTCACACTAGCCAACGCTAGCAACAAACCTCTTTACAAACTCAGGCTGTATTCAAATACACGTTTTTTCATTTAATTATTATCTTTTAAATAGTTGCTATTACAAGGTCGCTAAAAACGGTACGGTAAGCAATTCTGGGGAAATTTCTGCAAAAGGAAGAATGCACTAAATGAGTGAAATGTTTGACTATGTCTCTCATTGTGACCCTCTTTAAGCTGCAATGAATGGAGATGGAACACGGCGAAACAGAACACGTAGTGCCGTAGGGATCAGATGAATTCTCCCTTTATCTAAAAAGTAAATAGTATGTTTGCCAAGGGGTTAAATGGCATAATTAACTGTAAAATGCTTTAAACTGCAAAACGGAACGTTAGTGAGGACCTCCGCAGCCCGGATGAGCCCCGGAGGCCTCGGCAGCTCGTTCATTCGCAGCAGAAACGGATGCTGAGGCTGCGCTCATCGCTGCCTCCACTGCGCAGCCGCAGTTCTTCCAGGACGCGCAGAGCCCGCAGAGGGAGAGACAGCAACAACAAAAAAATGGCCCTCGATAATCTCATTTTCGGCCAGTGCGTCCTTTATTTTTTAGCTTTCGTGTTCGGTTTCATCGCCGTGGTGCCTCTGTCGGAAAACGCGGAGGACTTCGGGGGGAAATGCCTGCTGTTCACGCGCGGCATGTGGCAGAACGAGAACATCACGGTGTCGAAGCAGCGCTTCATCGTGGAGGAGTGGGGGACCGAGTCGTCCTGCAGCTTCATCACTTTCGTCGGGATCTCGTCCCTCGTTCTGTCCGCCGTGCAGGCGTGGAGGCTGCTGTTCTTTCTGTGCAAAGGACACGACGAGTGAGTGAGCGTTTTACCTGTGCGTGGTTTGTTTTGCCCTTACACAACTGCCGCAGCGCAAGAAGATGCGCAGGGCGCCGCGCAAACGGCTCTAACGCGTCAAATGTGCGAGGTGTTCTGGAAGAATCCGTCACATGTGCCATGCTATGCGGATAAAACTAATAAAAACAAACGAGTATGGTCACCGTCGTCCTCTAATACGAAGAGATTAGAGATGCACAGTGTTTGAAAAAACTAAATTATAATGTGACTCAAATGCAATAATTAAATTACATTAATACAAAGTTTTGTTCTCCACACTCGTTTGAAAATGATGCAGGGGTCCCGCAGTTTTGATCATTTTAAAAAACGTGTTTTACCCGTCTGCAGCTCCATCTTCAACGCCTTCCTCAACCTGCTGATCAGCTCCGTGGTGGTGTTCACGGTCTTCCTGTCCAGCACCATCGTCAGTGTGGGTTTCAACATGTGGTGTGACTCCGTCACAGAGGGCGGGACGATGCCCAGCAGGTGAGAGGGAGCAGCACATGTCCCACACTTTTATTTTCATCTTACAGTCCCGAGGCGTTGCTTCATACCAGCGCGCGCGTGTGTGTGTGTGTGTGTGTGTGTGTGTCATATTTAAGCTGCGAGGACCTGCAGGACACTGATCTAGAACTCGGCCTGGACAACTCTGCTTTCTACGACCAGTTCGCCATAGCTCAGGTAGGTCAATATCCTTCAACAAGGTTACAACAAAATCCTGAACCTCAGTCATACAGTTTCTCACGGGGCACAATGATTGCCTTGTGTCCTTCAGTTTGGCCTTTGGGCCGCATGGCTCACCTGGCTCGGGATTTCAGTGATGGCCTTCCTGAAGGTCTACCACAACTACAGACAAGAAGACCTGCTGGACAGCCTCATCCACGAGAAGGACCTTCTACTCAGCCGCTCCTCACGACGTAACTCTGACCTCAAGACCGGCCCGATCTAGAAACCCGAGAAGCACACAAACACAAACACGCACACCCACTCGTACAGTCCTCTCGCCTGCCATGAAAAACACCGACGTTTGCCTCGGTATCAAATTGGCTTCTGCCCCTCGATCGTGGATAGAAACCAAAGGTTTTAGATTTGTTCTCCAAAGACAATTGATTTTTCCTCAAAAACACGGTCCCAATGGTTGGTAATCCTTAAGGAATCCTGATTTATTGAGTCCATTCATCCACTGTGCAAACCTCTCCAACTCACACAACCATAGTTCAGCTCCTACAGTATTAAAGCCTACTTAAGGGAAATGTATACCCATGCTTATGAATTTCTACACAGTATTAATAGCGTGGAGCGATTGGCTGAAGAATTCTTTGTGTAACATCTGCATGGACATAATGCATGACAAATTAATAGGGTGAGTTTTTTTTATATATAAAGGGATGTTATTTGGTTTTATACCCCATTAAGTGTGTTCCCAAGGAAGGGTTTTTTCTAGTAAGCTGCGCAGCTCTTGGTGAAGGGAGACTTCTAGCATGGTGGTTGCAGCGCGTTCACACTTCCATCAGCAGTTACAAAGAGTGTTTTATGAAAATGACAAATTGTAGTTAAGAACATTCATTTCTTTGGGGCAGATGATCCAAAAAATGCTTTTAGCAGTGTACGTGAGAACAACAAATCTTGTTTTGTGCCAAATACAAACTCAGGCTTCTCTTTCACACTTCATAAGCTACAAACCAATAGACGGTATTACTGTGAGTAGGAGCACATACAGACCTGCATGCACCTCTCCCGTTTACATGCACATCACACACTCACTTATTGCCAGAGATTACGGTGAATGAAGCATATCAGCTCCTTGACTTTGATAGGCAATGACAGTTTTATTCAAAACAACAGAAATCATAAAACGGTAGGAAGACCCTCCATAAAGGCACTTCTTACAAAGTGACCATAAATGTTTGGACAGCAGTGAGATGCAGCTTCTAAGCTAAAAGGGTGAATGCAGGACACGAGTTCACTGCATTGTTTTATTGCTAAGGACAATTTAGTTTGACAGTACCGAGAGGAGTGTGTTTCTTTCTTCCATACAGGCGCTTTTAGCCTTATATTGCTTTGACATTCAAACGCAAAAACCTCCAATCCAACGATTTCCTTTCGATTTCCCCAAAACCTGTTATATAAAGAACAATGTTTTACTCAAAACCATGTCATGTGTGTTATTGCTTGTAATGAGAGCTCTTTGAGATGTGCCTCTCTGTGCCCATTGATGCCTATAATCCATTTGTGTGTTTTTTCTTTGTTGCTTCATTGATAAAGGGACTCATAAGATAACCTACAGAATCGGATTCTGTCATGTTTCTGTTTGGCTTCATATTAATGGCAATGAACTTGACAAAAAATGATATGTATCATTTTTGTCCAAAGCTTGATGAGCATTTGACATAATGGTTAAAACCTGAATAGTGCCGTTTTTAAATAGAAATGCAACAGGTAACAAAAAGTTAAAAAATTGAAAATAATTGAAAGTTTGATATTTTCTTAGATGCAGATATTCAGTATAGAAGAATAAATAACATTTAGGATCAAGGAAATCTGGTGGGATTCAAGTGGTTATAAAGAGGAACACTGTCAAAAGCATTAGTATCCATTCAGTTTGAGTATATTCTCTTAGATAAGGTGAGAAAATTCATAACATTGTGCTGCAGATCTTCTCCTCGTGGAGCAAAGAGTCAGCTGAAGACAGTCGTTTGTACAGAAGACCAGACGGCCTGCAGAAAACGAGGCGATTATTATCTGTTAAACATTCAACCTGGTGCTGAAGTGATGCAGCCCTGTACTTTCTATCCAACCGCTCACACATCTGTGCCTCCAATGATCACAGGGCCAATCGAACCCGCCTTCCAACTCCTCCACATTCGTTCATGTCCTTATTGTAGTGAACCATGTATACACATTCAGTTCTGTGTAACATCTAGTGTCCACACATGTATTGAAGCTAAATTAATTTATGCATTCAATGGAAACAGCCACCCACATACATACGATACACAGTGACATGAGAGATGGAATTGTTGTGGTGATTCACTGAGCCGTATTTGTGAGCATCAACATTGCAGATGTGCAAAATCATGGCTTAAATAAGGAGTGAAATGCCCACCACCTTAGCACTTTTTTTTTTACATAGCTACATATTTCTGGGATTAAACATTTTTCTCCTTTTTCACTACGAGGGTTCTTCAACGCCACAGGCCTTGTGGTGTACTGAGCCTTGTCAAAAACAGGCAGAGGTGTCTGTGGGCCCTTGTAGGCTCCTTCAGAGAAAATAAAGTCGCCTCTAAAAAAACACGAAGGAAGGCTCCACGTCGCCCCCGCTGGTCTGTCTCGGTCACTGCATGGTCAGCCAAATCCAGCAGCCCCACAGAAGGCGTTTCATGTGCAGCAGGTAGACGGACAGAGCGTGCTCCAGCTCCTCGCACGCTCGCTGCGGCCGCCGCCGGTCTGTGCAGTACATGGCCACACCCAGGAATGACATCAGCAGGAAGAGGCAGGTTAAGAGGGCGAGGTGGGGGCGGGACTGAGTCGCCTCATAGGCTAAAAGAGAAAACCAAGGCAGTTTAAAAAAAAATGTTTTAAAAATGTTGGTTTGTAAACACAAATTTCAATCGTAACATGCAAAAAGCAGAGACCTTGACAGGCAGGTTTGTCATGGGGAATTTGTGACTACGTCTATACACTAGTGGAGGCCTCGTCACACACACTGGTTTAATAAAAAGGGAGGTGAAAGGGAAATGCTCCATCATGAACGGCTGCCATCGAAGTCAATAAAAAGAAAAAAAAATCACCTAACAATAAACAATTAACCTAAATCCCTTGACTTATTACCCAAACACATTTAAATTCAACAGACTTAAAAATAAATATTCATTAATTTCCTTTTCTCATGCATATTAGTATAGTAAATCTGTCAGACAGACCTACCGCCTAAACATTCACAGTAAGGAGCGTCTGTGAAGCCGACAGAAAAGAGGCCAGTCAGTCAACAAGAGCTGATGTGCAGCAGCCACCACCCAGCTGCTGAGCCCTCAGCACTCATCCACTTACTATCGCTCTGGAACAGACTCTGTATGGAGCCTCATTTGCATGCATAATTAATTACAAAGAGTAAATCACTTTGCTGATGTTTGGAACTCCTGCAGCATTACATTGTTTTTAAATGGGACAGAATCCCGAAGGACAATAGTTTACAAGGTAATCTTAGGATGCTGTAAAGCATTTTTGTCCTTTCAGCGCAGGGTTCACACCGCTGTTACACATGCAAGCTGGGATGGCACACATTTTGAAGGATTTATTTCATTTTTAAACGATCTAATCAAGCAAACATGGACATGCTGCACAGAATGAGGGGGGATAGGAAGTCACTGCACAAGTTAACTTAACTAACGCAGTGGTTCCCAGGGCCCCTTTTAAGGATATAAGGACATTGTAGAACACCCCCCCCCCCAACAAGTTACTTCTTTGTTTTTAATTAATTGCATTATAATATATCATTTCTATTAAAATAAAAAAAAAATACATATAACTTTACAGTTTAATTACATTTTGTAATCTCTCTCTCTCTCTCGCTATATGTCTCTCTCTCTCTCTCTCGCTATATGTCTCTCTCCCTCCCTCTCTGCCTCTTTGCTGCGCTCGTCCGCTTGTAACCTGAGCAGCTCTCATGCGCGTGGTTCCAACACAACGCAAGTCCTCATATCAGTTTTGCTTTCGTTTTTTTCTTTCTAGGGGGGGGTTGGTGATGAAGCCGCGAACCCCCAGTTTGGGAACACTGGCTCACGGCGTAAAAAGCGCCAGAAGCCAGCACCTTCTCTGCGGTGGCACTTGACACGTCTGTGACGGGTGACACGCTTTCCTAGTGTGTTTTTCTCACCGTGTACGGTGGTCTCCGGCTCCCTGAATCGAACCCTCCGCTCGCCTTTCCGCCTGTGGTGGGCTTCAGTGTCCGGCCCGTAGCTGGGACTCGGCCTCTTTAGAATGGAGGTGGGCGCTTTGCCGTTGGTTACCTGCATCAGACACGGCTGAGGATGACTATACACACACGACGTTCAAAAGGCCGCCGACAGAACAGCTCACGTCCAGAGTGGCGTTGCTGGAGATGATGTTGCTGTTGACGCTACCTTAGGTGTCGGTGCATCCTCCTGTTGGTGCTGGGTGTCCTTTCTGTGGCGAACCTCCGGGTCTTTCTCCCCCCCGTGGGAATGAGGAGTACAGCTGACGGCGTCTGTGACGGCCTCTTCGGCAGCAAAGCGCTTGGACAGCGCAGACACACACTGACCCAGGGAGTCTAGTGAGAGAACCATGACCTCACATCAGCGGTGATCTGGTGCGTCGGCATCACGCGGCCTGCTCTGAGACAACGAGGCTGAGCCAAACATACAAAGCTATACATGCAAATGTATCTCGGAAGAGACGGCGGCGTTAACTCTGTCGGCACCGGTTGGAGTGGAGCTCACCGAGTTACAAGCAGTACGTTTTGGTTGAGCTTGACAGAGCTTCTTAAAAGAGAATACTTCCAATAAAAGGTTAAAGGTTAAATGTTTCCCACACCACTTCCGGTTCATAGTTTGGCTGTTGAATCAGTCATTGTTTGACTTAAACCATTGTTAAGTTAATCTATTACTGTTCTATGTTTAGTAACATAGAAACAAGTTACTATTGGGGAAAATACTTTTAGATTTAATGTAACCCTAACCAACACAAAGCCGATATATTATAGTATGTTAAGATCGATGTTAAGATATATTATACACACACACGCACACGTATGTTATTATGTTATAATCTCTGAGGGTCCCCACATACACATCAATTCCTCCATCACACAAACCCAAATAGTTTGTCCACGGGTGAAAGTGACCGATCCAGTTAACAGTCAATGATATCTGAGAGAAAGGGGCAGTGGCCTTTGTTGAGGCATCTTACTGTGGGTCAAAGGAGGATTTCTGTGTACAATACAAAATGAAAGGTCGCAAAAAATTCGCAGCGACCTTGATTCCTGATCCGCAACAACCGGTACAAACACTCGCTGACCCGCTGCGGCAAAAAGGTCCAACACAGTCTGAGGCGAACAATAAGGAGCTTTGTAAATCTCTGGCTTTGAACGCGCCACACTCGTGTCTTTCTGTGGCCGGCCCGGTTCAGCGCCGCTGCCTCCGATAGCTGACTCGACATCAAGGCTGGTTTGTGAATATTGCTCTTTTTTTTTTTTACCCCACAGCAGTTTTCACAAAAGCGCAGAGTTCACAGTGCTGCTCCATCTTACTGCAAGCCAAGCATTCATAGTGTACAACAGCCCTCAAACTGTCACCGAGGCGCCTTTCTCATTTGTTCTGCATGAAAAGCACTCGTGTCCGACACGACTGCACGTGTTTATTAATTTAACATCTGTACAAATTGACGTGGTTATTTAAAGTCTTATTTAATGGCTTTAACCCACATCCCCACTGTGCTGTGCGCCTCTGGAGCTTGTTCTCCAGATCAGCCCCACTATTCTGGCTTCGCCACGTCCTCTCGAGACAACGAGGTCTCCGCCCTCACGCGTCTGACTGAATGTCAAATCACAGTGAAGCGTGTTTACTGATTACATGCAGCGTGACAGTGTGGCGTTCGCTGTGCGCCAACAGTACCTGAATATTCAGTCTTGCCGATCTCAGCGTAGACAGTGGCCATAAGCTCCAGGCTTCTGGCTGTGATGGGGTGGTCATTACCGAAAGCCCTCTGGTGGATCTTTGCAGCCTGAGAGATTTAAAAGTTGACGAGAGTGTGGAAAACACGTATTCGTCCACAAATCTAGAAAGGAGGCAAGGAGAAGGATGTACATACCTTACCGCTGTATTCCAAAGCGAGATGCGGCCTGAAAGAAAAAGGAAAAAATGGCGTCGTTAAACAAACACAAACGTGTCTTCTTTTATCTAAACACAGAGACAGAAGCAGCGTAGGGGCCCGTGATGCATTGAGAGGCCAGCGCGTCTGTTTCAGCTGCAGGAGAAATCTAAACGCCGCGGATGGACACGGGGAGCAGGGCCGCAGGCGCATTAGGGAGGAAGTGGAAACCTTCCATTTCTGCCAGCTCCGAGTGCCCCCTTTTCGTTCCTCCAGGGTGAATTACAGAGGGCATGGCGCTCACAGCTCGGGTTTACTGACTCGGGCCCTTCCGCCGCTCGTCTGCTGCTGAGTTCGATGATCGTGGTGTGATGACATGTTGAATCTGCCAGCCGCTCCGCTTCATGTCTGCGTCCGGAAAGTCAGCCAAGGACATTCATCACGCTGACACGCTCACGTGGGCCTTTGGATGTGGAGCGAGCTCTGTTTAGTGTGACAGATGTCGGCTTCGCCGTTCCAAACCCGCGCTCCCCTTCAATTAGTAATGGACAAGTGTCGGTTTGCACAGCTTTAGAACATCTTTATCAGGGGACACCTGATCGGCGAAGACATGAAAGCCCAAAGGACTTCTCACAACATTTGGCAAAAGACTATTAGCATTTAAACTTCCTGTCGAATAGAAGGAAGGACTGAAGCTAACGGCACGTCAAGAACCTCCACCTTTTCCCCCCTTTTTAGATACCAAATCAAATTCTTGTTTTTGCTCCCCAATTTAAACCAGTTGTTGTTATTGATCCAAAAACCAAAGCGCAATCACTACTCTCCTATTTAAGTTTGACTTCTGTATCCTGCTTGCGTCGACAAAGCTCTGTGACCTGCGCTCGGTTCAGCGGACCTTCGCCCTCCGTAACCCTCTCTGGCAATCAGGTTAAATGGCCTCATCCCAACAAGGACAACAGAGGCACAGAAAATAGGCGCATGCTGCGGCCTAACAAAGTGCCGCTGCAACAGGAGACAGCAGATCCAGTTAAAGTATTCCTTCTCTAACACTCACGCTAAGTGTGGTGTCTCTTTTCTTTCACATCTACAAAGAAATTCAACTCTAGCTAAAAATACTTGAAGCCGGAGTTCATCGAGTTCAGAATGTTTCCATTCCAGACTAATTTGTGTACGTGCAGCGGGACCTGGATAAACACACTTATTTACGCTTTTGTCAATGACAGATGTATATGTATAGACGTGACAAATAACTACGACGTTTGACTAAAAGCGAAGATAAAAGTGATGAATTACTTAAGGTGAGTTTCACACAAATTTACCGTAGCAGGCCGAATGTTCAATCATGTCATCTTGTAGTAAATTATTATCTCAATCTGAGATGAAGCTAAACTCGAGAATGAGAATGTATTTTCCTGAGCAGCTGCTTTTCTAATAAGCCTGATAAATGATGATGATGATGAAATGATGTATATTAACATAAATATACACACAAACGGACACACAAATGCCATCAAATTGAACTGTAAATTCACTGCTGACGAGCCCCGAGAGCCCTAAAATTCCCAGAACATGTAGCGCCTCATTAATTCCACCACAACAGCAGCTACAGGAGACACAGCTCTACCTACTGTTTGCTCATGATGCAGAGCTGGGCCAGCCGCTCGAGGTGCTGTGCCTGGGAGGCCTGCTCCGAAAGCTCCTCTGGAGTCGTCCATCCCGCGGAGCCCAGCGGAGCCTCCTCCTGAGGCCCTGTTACACAAACGCACGGCATGGAATCACAGTCGGTCTTCCAGAAATCCACTCTGTCTTTCCCCCCCAGCTCGTCCGTCCGTCCCTCTTGCCTCGCTGTCCTCTGATCTCTTTACCTCTGTAGTTTCAAAAAAGTAAAGCCCAATAATCCCAGAGGTATCTGGCTGCGTATTTCTGCTGTGGACTTTAAGCCTGAACAGCAGAGTGGAGGCAAATGAGGACTGGGAGACAAGAGAGCAGAGATAAGGGCAGGAGAGAGCGGATAAGGGAGTCAAACAACAGACTCACCACGCCCACACTGTAACACTGAGACACACGCAGGCACACGGTGACACACCACAAACATACAGGCCGAAGTGTACACACATCAAACACGCACACGCTTGCAATAATGGTGGTGGTAATTATTTTTTCTCGTCATCCATGCAAGAGCAAATAAATCATCCCAGGTGATATGTTTTCCAGGTTAAGTCATTTGTTTGCATTAAAAACACACACAATGACAATGATGTGAGCTCTCTGTGGGGAAATACTGAGGACGGTGCATTTGAGACACAGCTCGGGAAGCTGCAGCTATCGTTCCAGCTCGGGGCGCAAGTCGAGCATTCAATCCAAGTGAGTGCTGGATCAGCGGCTCGCAGTATTCTATAAGCGACACATAGCTCCTAATGAGAAAGTGCCAAAGTGTGGCCATTCGTCTTCTCCCCTGTCTGTCCCCGTTGTCCTCCGCGGTGCCCACGCTACGCTGCGTTGCGTTGCTGCCTCAGCGGCAGACGCAGGAGGAGGAGGCAGACGTCTGGAGCAGCAGCAGCAGCAGGTGATGAATGGGCAACCTCGCAGCGAACGCCTGCTTCAACCTCCAGCCGGTGTGTCCCGTGAACAAAGATGGACTTGGAATAGGTTTTTTCTCGGGTGTTACAGACACACATTGTGTTGTGGTAATTAGTTTGTAGATGCAGGTTGTGCATAAACCATTTTGGAGAGCTGCCCACTACGAGCTCAGCGGGGCTTTGCTAACAGCTACAAGATTAGATAGAAAGTTTATTCATTTCGCGAAGGGAAGTGAGCTCAAAGACACATTCATTTTACATCCATTTTTAAACCACATTCCACTTGTACAGAATTATTTATGTAACAGCATCTGATTTGCAATGACTTAAATACTAGCTTATGCACTTAGAGTGTATCCCAAGATGTATTCTTCCATATCTTAATGTTCTTAATGTCAAAGGTACTTGCCTGCGCTCCCATGCAGAGTGGTGAGCTCGATCAAGGCCACCTCGTAGAACATCTTCTCAGCCTGGATGAATTGGAGGGCCTTCTCATCTGTTTATAGGTGAAGGATCACTCTCTGGTCAACAGGATTACTCAGTTTTTGAAGTCAAAAACAGCCTTTGTTTTAACCCCCCCCCCCTCTTGAAGAACCCCACCAGGCAAAGTGGATTGTTTGATCTTGACTTGGTTTTGCAAATACGGATCTCCCCCTCTAGTGTCTGTAACTTCTTATGAGCTGTAATATACAGTTTGTGGTGTTTGCTCAGCATTTCAACATGTTTCAAATACACAGCAAAGCTGTGTAGTTTATCAGATCACACACTATTGTGTCAAATCATATTCCTGATGCCTTTTGATGCCTTTTGTGTTTTGTACAGAATCTGTTTGGCTAAGCTGAATGTTTTCAAGATAGTCCTTTTAAATAGCAGACTAAAAATAGAATCTCTTCACTTTGTTAGAAGCATTCCTCTGAAAGTCCATCCCACTGTAAAATGACACCATTGATGCTTGTCAGGTGTATTTAAAGACCAATGGGATGAAGAATGCTTAAAATAAACACAGCCCTGCCGGTCTTAACAGCACAGCACCAATGTGAATAACACTACAAATGTCAGTTTAGGTGTTTCCCTTTTTACTGTATTACAATTATTTGGTTTTATAAAGAGGTTGGAAAGATGGACAATACGTTTTCAGCCAACAATGGAACTGAAAACAGCTATTTTCCATGACATTTTTATCTGGGCCACAATTTCAGTGGTTGAGCAACAGATCACACAGAAAAAACAAGACGCTGTGCAGTAAAAATCCTATTTACATAGGATCCTGCAAGTAATACAAGTAAAGGAGTGTTATGAAAGATTAGAAGATAGAACATACTACTTCAGATGGGCTCCAGAAAATATGATGGATGGGAAAGGCTGGATGTTGAAAAGCTATTCTTGGATGAACATCTGAATAATTTACTGTAAAGTACAGTAAAAGACGACACGAGAGGTCATGTCATGAAAACCCAGCATTTTCAATGAGGAAGTGCTGAGATAAGCCTACTGTTGCCTACCACACATGTGTTGTTTTGGAACATTTTTAAGCTTTATGCTTTATACCTTCCCCAGTTGCTGGGAGTCACCTGGCAGCAGGCGATCCGGTGAGTGTGTTGTGGACCATCTGGGAGGGAGGATTACGCAGCCATCATCAAAGGTCAGTCTACTACTTGGGTCGGCTATTTTTAGCCTGGCTGAACCACGGCAACACCGCAACAGGAACCTCACACAGTCCTTTCCAGGGAACTTGTGCCTCACTAGAAACAAACATGGACACACACAACTCCTCCTGAACTGGTGGTTGGATCTGCTTTGGAAAAGCTTCTGTGCAAAACACAAAAGGCACCAAAAAGGCATCAGGAATATGATTTGACACAATAGTGTGTAATCTGATGAAGTACACAGTTTTGCTGTGTATTTGAAACATGTTGAAATGCTGAGCAAAAAACCCTGTTTATTTGACCGTTACGTCAACCTGGGTCAGTATACTCAGGGTCAGTATATACCAAGAAAAGCGTATTAGTGAACACTCAGCAGCCAAAAGGGTGTTTGGCTTTGGACAAAGGTCCCTTGTAGGTACTGCCAGCTCTGATATTAGTATATATTCGACTAGGTATATTCAGCTTTGTTTCCCATTGTGGATTGTGGTTCGACCCCACAGAAAATATGTGAGGAAAACATCAAGTAAGCCTTTGTGTGAAACCCAAAGTTCCCATACTCTCTTCCAGTTTGAGTACACTGACCCTTCACCTTCCTCCCCGGAGAACCATTGCAAAAACCACAACAGCCCTGCTTCAGCTGCTACGATGCTCATGAGAACTGTGAAGATAGAAGAAGCTATTAGTTCTTCTCATTTTGAGGACTTATTCCTTCCAACACTGCACACACTGATATTATTAATGACGGCACCATTTGGTGCAATTCTTACTGTATTATAGAATGTCTAATAGCTGGTGATATTTGACTAAATAACAAATAATTAAAAACATTTTAAATATTGTTTTTGACCTACCAAACAATGTGCGATGTAATTACATTTTGCTGACTGTAATCTCACACTGAAAGTAAAACGATGTCCCAAAGTAAGTAACTAAACCATACATAAAGGGACACAGTTCAACATGACAAGACACCATTAGTATTGATGACGTAATGTAATCAAGTGATGTATGTAAAACAATTCAACCCCCTCTTGACAAATGCCCCTCTTGAGTAAATACCCCAGCATGCTGAGAAGTGGCCCGCTAATGGCCAATGGTGAAGTGAAGCCAAACGACAGTAAGGGGTACAGCTTTGCTGAGCTACATAATCTGAGCCGGCAATTTAAGTGTTGGTGTGTCTCAGTAACGGCGAGAAGAGCCACAGAGGTAATATATCCTGCAATGTAACACCTTTCCATTATCTCTTTGTCCTACACTCCTGTAGTTTATAGAAGCAGGGAAGTGGGGGACGAACGGGCTCGTCGGTGCAGATACAGGTTAATTAATGCTCTTCCACTCTGTTGTGCGGAGATAAGAGCGTGCAAATCCTCTTAGGAGACAGACACACAGCCTGAGCTGCACACTAAACGTAGAGCATTCTGGAACAAATGTGTTATGGCCTCGCCCACAGACCTCCGCTCACCCCCCCCCGGCTTACACCTCTTTCTATAAAGGGTCCACTTTCTTCATTGTGCAGGAATTTGCCGCACCTTCAACCGCAGACCATCACGTTCCCTCACAGATGGAGACGGCTGGTGCTAAAGTTAGCCTGCATGCTAACGCTGACACTTCTGAGGGGACGGGGAAAAGTTAAAGCGTTAGATGTGAGATGGGTCCTGAAGCTTTCCCTGAGTTAGTAAAGGATACAATTTTTCTCAGTGATGAAGAGTTCTGCAATCTGTAAATCACAGACAAGGGACATGGTTAATAACGAAACAGTCAATTAGCAAGATCCTTCCCGTCTGTGTGCGTGCATCCTGTCATGTGCTGCCATAACAACCCTGCTCTTCTTGCAGCCCCATTGGTCCGGTGAACATTGTCCAACGCGTTCCAAAGTTCCTGTTTGGAGGCTTTGTTTTGACACCAGGGACATTCTTTCAGGCATTACTAAACAGAATTAAAATTCTTGCCTTCTCTTTGTAGGAGAGCCTTGAAAAGGACCCCAGTATGTAACCTGCTCAGACTTTGGCCCGGCTACACAGTATTATTAGCAACTCATGGCCCCCACACACCAATGGGACGGACCTTAATTGGATCCTGGAGTATTATAACAATGTGACCAGTCTAATAAGACTATACAAGTTATGCATCCGATACCTCACTTGGTAGCAGGCCCACTACCAGTCTTACTCACACTGAAATGATCTTACAGTGTCAAACACATGATGGACTGTGCTGTCAAATTTGACATTGGTGTCGATGATACCAAGGTTGAAATGTGTCATGTGTTATGTGAATAGTGTGATACTCAAGAAGTAGTGATGCAAATGTTTCAAGGCAGCTGTGCAAATGCATGAAACAGTAGATTTTGTAGATGCATGTAATGAACATGCATGTTGGCATGTGGGTGAACAACAGAGAAAGGTTATGCCGTGCCTGTGTGTGTGTGTGTGTTTGTGTGTGTGTCTGTGCCCAGTCTTCTGACTCACCTGGTGAAGGCAGTTGGGCAAATAGGTGAAGCTCTGCACGTGGGTCAGTCCCAACAGGCAGCTGAGGAAGCAGTGGAGGGCGGCCTGATACTCGCCCTGCTGCTGGAGCTGCTGTCCCAGCTCAAACAGGCCCTCCCTCCCCCTGTTCAGCATCCCAGTCCCAGCCAGAGCCAGCGCTGCCTCCCATCAGAGCTCCACCGGCCGACGTTCCTCTCTTCGCCCCCCTCCACTGAAGCACCACAGGTAGACGGCCACACACACAGTGAGAGATTGTGAGAAACGCAGCCGCTCACATGGACACAGACAGAGAGGAGCCGGGAGGAGTGAGCAGCACAGCTTCCGCTCAGTGTCGTCTGAGCACTGGAAGTCAAGGACAGGTGGTAAGAAGCAGGCTAGAGGGAGCTCCGGCGACTCACATAGAAACGATCCATTCCCCTCCCTCCTCCCAGGCTGCACCAGGAAAGGAGGACGGAGGAAGTCAAGGGAGTGTTTGCTGCGTGAGTGGCAGAGCTGTTGTCCAATCCCTGCTCTGCTCATGTACAGTCGGTCTGCCAGCGTGTGTAACAAACCGGATTTCTCTCCAGTCCTCCAAATTGGAAATAGTAGGTGTTATTGATAAAAACCAGACGCCGTGAGCACATGTCCTTTTGATGTATTTCTAAATGTGGTGTATAGTAAGATTTACATTTTATCCAGTTTGACCTAATTTCCCCAGCTACTTTGCATTCGCATAGCAGAACACAATGTACATGCAGAGTACAGTGTGCAAGAGCCTTACTGCCCCTCTTATGATTTATAAATGAGAAGTGCAGAAGTGAAGTTTGCGCCAACAAGCAAAAGCGTTACGTGAGGTTGTTTCACACTCTATATGCTCCAAAGCACACCGGATGGATGATGCAAACATGGGGTCGTTAGGAACAGACACTGTCTGAGGGGGGAAAAAGCACTCCTCTCTATCCAAACAAGGTCGACTCATATTTATTCAAAAGGAGTGCCTCCTCTGGATGTGTGTTCACTTCCTTTCACACTCAGCTAATCAACATTGATGGGAGGCAAATCTTTGCCCAGGGAGAGAGAGAGAGAGAGAGGAGGAGATAGGAGGGTGGCACACGACCGCCGGATGATCCAAAGGATCATGAATGAGTGTCGGCTTTAAGAGCAGCACTCCTGCCAACCATCGCTCCGTTTGGACACCAGCATAGTGGCTGGAGGAAGTACGTGGGGGACACACAAAGCGAATGGGCAGAGTCGGTCTCCATTAGTGTCCGATGCACATGGCTAAAATGGTATTTTAATGGTTGTGAATGGCAGTGGAAGGAGCAGGGAGCATTAAACTTGCACTGGCAGGTCAGACTCAGGGAACTGCTAACAGTGCTCATTTTGGACCAAGAGCAACTTGAACAGCGGAGGGACTTGATTATGCTGACTTGGGGTCGCTTTATGCCCTCCGCCTGGGAAAACAGACAGGAAATTGTGTTCGCTTCTCAGCGATGTCGAAGTGGGGTGCAGAGAGGAAGCGAGCAAAGCTTTGGATGTGACTGAGTCAGAAGGCCGCAGGCTGACTCTCAGTGCTCGGTCCTAATTGATAAAGAGAAGGTTTCGTCTCCTCATTACAGGCCAGTCAAGCTGAACAGAAGTACAGCAGCCGAGAAGAGGCGGCACGGGATGATCTCGTCGCCATGTTAACAACGTTTGACAACAACCATGCACCAGGAAATCCAGGAGTGACACTTTGACGCTGACATAGTGCTCCGTCGTTACGTTGATACGATGACAATACAGCATGTAGTACGTCACATACAAGTCATTGTGCTTGTTATGTTGGGCTGGTTATGTAAGTATATAGTTACTTTGAGATAAATTGAAGGTGGAATCTCCCATGGGATTTATTTTAGGACATCTGTGATTGATTTTAAAATCTGTCGGTGACCTTTTCAAGATTTCCCTGTAAAACGTTCTGAAAAATGAACATTTATTAAATTAGTAAAATATGTATGTTTTTGTACACTATATAAAACAGTAGTGCATACAAGCACTCATGCATATTGACAATACGACCAGTCATACACATGATACAATATATCAAAGGTATCTACTGTCTACAGCACCTGCTACAAAATATTAGCACCAAGCCCACTTTGAACTATTGTATTTAATAGCATATTTTACAATGTTTTGATACTGTTTGGAAAGTCTCTGTAATAGTGCACACTGGCAACCACTTTGCATATAAGGAATTGGAGAACTGTTCAGCAGTAGTGAAGATCTACATTTTACCAACTGGCCTCTGCTTTTCTTACACATTGATATGACATTGTTTCTGGAAATATTGACCAATTTGTCTTGGTGGCACCTCAAAGCTGGAATTAATTGGCTTACATTGTGTTCCAACCACCATTTCCTTCATGGACTGATAGTCATTTAGACAAAGATATTGACTGATGTTCGCTATTCTGCAGCGCAAGAATGGAAACCTACCTGTAATTGGAATATTGACTGCTTGTCTTACAGAGTTGGTGGACAAATACATCAGTGTGATCAGTAAACACTCTTCACAGTACTCGATTCCCAGGGAATCCGAACCACCACACTAATGCAAATGAATGGTCAGCAGGCCATAAAACAGAATGAAGAGAACAATGAAACAGTGACTTAACAGATATAAATGATCAGCAGGTCGTTGCAAAGCGGTCAATCTCAATATATTCTATTTGTGTTAATGCTTTGTTTAATACAAACCCACAGTACATATTTAGCTGGTGTATAGATATCACAATATATTCACCCATAAAAGTGACGTTTTGTTTTGTTCTGAAAATCTCTTACTTTGGATATTTGCATGTTGCTCTCACTCTCCTTCTGACTCGCCATGAGGTCATCAATCAATCTTAGATTATTTCATAAAACCATTTGTTACAACAACACATTTCGCATTGTCCAGCAGGTTTACAGCAGAACATCGCCTCTCTTGTGCCCTTGTGTCATTTCACGGCACTGCGCATGGGCCTACATCAGCATATACTATTTATATGTCCTGGAAATGTGCACATGCAGCCACTCTATGCATTGTCTTTTCAAAGCCTGGAGGCCTCTGGTATGGTATATTTTATTTCAAATGAGTGACAGCAGCTACCTCCCTTGCTATTGTATATTGTGAGTCAAAAAGTTTAAAAAAGCACCCCTGTTACAGACATGAAACCTTGCATTCTGGCTATGATATACATATATTTCCTACTCTGGATGTTAGAGTATCTGGTCTCTTGGCCAACTGTTTAAAACCCTCAACTTCACATCATCCAAGATGCAGGCTCTGGCAGTTTAATAGTCTTGGACCCAACACCACCAGCTACTGAAAGGGAGTTTATGACCTCCATGTAATCAGCAGTAAATGCTGCCACCATCTGTCTCTTTTCACTCAATTATTTGACCCACTGACTTTTACTGACAAACACTATTCAGCTAAACAGCAACGCAAATCCCCCAGATAAGATATTTACACTCCCATACAACATCTCACAGTATGATTTCTTTTTGGTCAGTTCTCACACCAACAGTGTGAACAGAAAAGATCCTGTACAATTTCAGCTTTATAACTCGAATCCTCATCTACGGATTCATTGTAAAAGAGTCATGCATTATACTACATGCTGAGCATGCCTGTGAACACTGTGAATCAAGACATTTGTTTACAGTAAAGGGTTTATAATGATTCATCACAGAATGTTAAAATCAAGCCATTGAGAATTGTTGACTAAAGTGAATTCCTCAAACAGCACAGCAGCTTTGCTGGGCTCATTTTCTTTTGCACCACTCTTGCACATCCTAGTGGACAAATCGGGAAGGTAAAACAGTGGCCCAAACTGTGCATTTCTGTATTTCAAACCACCCAGTCCTACTCATCCTCTAATACTCCTGAAACCATAACATTTACCCTCGAAAGCTCCCTTCCAATCGTCTACCCAGCTAACGGTACACTCATGTAAAGCTTTTACGATATAAATGTCTTATCCACGCAGCGTCTACATACAGGAGGTTGCCGTGCCAAAAGGCATCAGACAAAAGGTTTTTTTCTCCCGAGCAAAAGGTGACCTGGTTCATTTCTGCGATTCCACCAGGAATATGCCACCTGTCAATAAGGCTGGAGTGTCAACACGACACCTGCAGCCTCATCGGCATTGGTGCTGATCATCATTTCATCCCTTTTCTTCACCTTTCTTCACAAATATGCAGGTGTGAGCCACTCCATCAGAGTGGTTACATGTGGCGCCCCCCCCTCAAGGTGTCCGAGTGGAAAAATAATGATGAGATCCAGGCGGTTTTCAAAACAACAGCAAAGCCCAGTGATTCATGAGCCGAACACAAGCAGGCGTCCTCCGCTGGCAGTGACCAGACAGGCAAATGTGTAAAGATAAATCTGACGTGAAATAAAGGTAGTCGGTTTTAAGGCAGGGATGTCTTCAGTTTTAGTCAGTAGGAGTCTAACCTGAGCTGCAGAGAACCACGTAACAGCCACAGCAGAGCTACGGTGTGTTAATACACCCGGAAAATGTTAATAATCACATCATTTTGAATGGCAATTGCTAAATTCAGAAATTTACATTACATCGGGGGTGAATTGCAGCGGGAATTAAGTGCAAACAAACCCTGGGTGGAATCAGAATAAAGATATTTTTAAGTCAAAATCTTGTTTCTAAAATATTAATGTTCACGTTTTATTTCACTTAGCTGAAGCTAATTTCTGTTAGTTTTAAACGGAGCTATAGCTTTTTTCCCCCAATAACAACATGAGGTTGACAACATTCTTCAGGAAAATGTTTCAACAGCTGTTGGAGTGATAGATGGAGCGCAATGCAATATGACACACACATATTCCCGTTCCCCTCAGGATAATTTATAATAACTTCCCGGAATTATTCCAAACCAGCAAGGTGGTTTATGACTCCGAAACTGATGACATCCCTGCCAGCCTCAATTGTAGTTTGTATAGTGTTTATGTGCAAATATCAGAATAACACGTATATAACACATGGGAAATATTGTACTATCAGCACGTTAGCTTTTGGTAAAGTGAGCATGTTAGAATACTGATTTATTTGGTAATTTGGTGCATAAAAGAACACACCACAGCCTCATATAACTGCTGCCTTTGAAATGATCTGTTCAAATATATTGAAATATCTAATATGTGCATTCTCATTTGCAACCTCTTTTGTCTTTGCCGTGAGAGCTTTCCTTACACAGCTCAGGGACTTCTGCATGCTCCTAATCCGAAAACTGAAGCACTTTGCAGAGCCCGTTTCATGTTCCCTCTCATTACATGCTGGTAAAATGGTAATTTATTGGATATTACTGTTCGTCAGAGTAGCATATTCCAGTCGAGCAAAACTACCAGGCAAAACAGCAGATATCAACTCCTGCTTTTTAATGTAACGCTGAGGCAACTTTGAT